ACTATCGTAGAGACTGGCAATTTTCCCCCAAAAACACGGTTAACTTAATGCAAATTTGATCTAATTGTGTTATGTCATTGTTATTTATCCTGCAAGTAACTACTGAACAGCTACTGGAGCTTTCTACCATGTTGTTTCCTCATCATAAACATGCCTGTAGAGATTGTGTAAGTCATTCATGCATGTTGTAGTTGTCTTGCAATCTCTCCTGGGCACTATTCAAATCCTCCTTATGGTTAGCAGTAAGAACTGTCCAAGATTCAGCCCACAAACCTACATCATTGTCAACCTACATTATCTTTTTATAAATATATAAAAGCATGGTACGTAACGCTAGATGCTACGACTTCACAAACCTGAATTGATGTGTAGTAGTAGTTTGATTTTGTTGTGGTGGCACTCAGAAGGTCAAAACAAAACTGAATCAATAACAAAAGTTAAAAAACACTTGAATACATTATTTTTTGGCAAATATAGACAATAAAAATAATAAAAGGTATCATTTTGATCTAAATATGTTATGTGTTAGAAATGAATACTCTATATCATAATACTTCCTCTTTAAGGCCACAATCCCCATAACTAGCATGTTTCTTTTAAGTATTGTATAAGTTTGTACTCTCTGCATCCTGATTCTTGACAGACTCTGAGTTTAGCTTGAGTCAAACAGTGTTGTGTATGTGAGTGTTGGAGCAGAGTCAGTGCGGACTGCGGGCTTGTCTCGTGGTCTTCTGTAGACCCAGTTTGTCTGCTCAGGGGTTATTTCTGCCTCTGCTCTGTAACATATAAGCTGTCTGCTGCAAGAGACTCTTTTTGTTTGTCCTCATATACAGTCCTCAAACAACGATACACCACATCATATTCTTAGTTCTTCTTTCATAGTTTAATTACTGCTAATTTAGTTTAATCTGTAAGAATGTGTCATCTTTCACAAATTTTGTTTTATTAATTGCTTTGTTTTAAACCAATTAATTTCTGATTTCTGTTCTTCAGATTAGCAGACTTTTGTAAAGGTTATTTTGATGTTTTCCACACATGTTCTAGCTGTTATGTTGATATGCGGCATATGCCATAACAGAATACAGTGTTTTTATCTATTGTCATGCCTTATTGAACTTCCTCAGTGGGAATTGAAAGCAACATTTACCATGGCACTCTATGTCCACAAACATACTTAATCTTATGGAATGGTTTGTTCTGCTATTATGTCTTCCATCAATGTTTCCTTTAGTGCTGTTTTCTTTTCCAGTTTGTTTGTTTTGGTTCCAAACATTGAGCTGTTATTGTACTAAATGCTCCACGTTGCAGCCCAGTTTGAGTTGGCTGATGTCATATGTGGAGTGGAAACAGATCAGTCCCCCATGTCTCTCTCTCTGTAGTAATTGTAGATCCAGCCACCACACAGCCAAAATGGATGGTTTGTTTTCACATTGGGCAATACAAACTTTCTGAGAATATTATGTTTTTAAATTACATTGACATTGTAAATTTCATCTGGGCTCACGGTGAATACATTAGGATTCTGGAGATATTTAAATAACTGTGTAGCATAACAGCGCTTCAGAGCCCATAGGTTCCTGTCCATCACTATAAAGCACTAAACTCTACTAAGAGCTAAACACATGTCTAACTTTTACTGTTTAAAAGGTTTTGGTCATTCAACCCTGAACAAGAGAACTTTTTAGAATGAATCTACAGGTATTGGTGCTATATGTTAACTTAGAGCTGCAATGTGATTGGAGCCTTTGCTGAGATGTTTCCTCTTTTTTGTGAGACGATGACAGACAATTGCTTAGGTTGAGTGTTTGTGTGCAGCTGTTGTGTGTGTGCGTGTGTGTGTGTCACCACAAATACAAAACATGTCATTTAAGCACCATGTCCATACCAGTGTGTTTCTCTGGAGAGACTGAAAGGAAAAAACACATGCAGCACTAATTGTGTGGAAAAGTGCAGTAATAACTGATTCAACTGTTTGTGGTCATGTGGCGCTCAACAGTTCATCATGTGAAGATGCCACGCTGAGGCACCTGGTGATCAGCTGCTGTGGTTTACAAACTGATAAGATGAACCTAAATTGTTTGTTTAAGCTAAAGTGGGCATTGGAGGAGTGGGGTTTTATTTTACCTTGAAAGAGGAGTTGTAGCTGGGCTTGTGAGTGGATTTCATTACATTTTTGGCAGACTGTCATTTCATGTAGTCAATTCTCTGTAGTTTTTCAGAAACACCAGCCATGTAAGGAATAGTTACACCCTTTCTCCTGAGTTCTGATTCTCTGTTGTCCTGTTTTTTAGCTCTCTTTGAAAGCCCATTTTGGATATCCACGAACAGAGAGGGATTTCTTTCTTGACATGTGCATGTCCCAGTCTTTTTCAAACCTACAAACACTTTAAGGCAGAAACTTGTCCACCCAAAGGACCAAACACAGAGCCACAAACAAAGCAATGTGGTCTACTCCATTCAGTGTAGTGAAGACTCCAGTGAGTGCAATATTGGAGAAACAAAACAGCCACTTCATAAGAGGATGTACTAACACAGACGAGAGAGCAGCGGTGGACCTCAGTCTGCCGTACATCTCCACCTAAAAGCCACTGGTCATTTCCTTTGAGGATAGTGAGGTACAGATCTTAGCCAAAGAAAATAATTGGTTTGGGGAGGAGAGTTATAGAGGCTATTTTAGTTAAGAAAGAGAAACCATCCTTGAACAATAACTCCATACTCAGACCTAAATCAAAACAAATAAAACAATAGGGATAGCCAGGTCAGCTCCAGAGTCGTGATAGCACCCATTAGGGGCCTGAATGATTATGCTAATATGACTGAAATGCACTGCGTGGGGACACAGTGCATTTCAATAGACCCAGCTAACAAACAGAAACTGTAAACAGTGTGTTAGTTTCAGAGTAGTTTCAGTGTAGGTAGCTCCTCCCTGCAGTCAGATATAAGGAAATGTCTACCAGCATTCTGACCAGAACTGAACTTTGTCCAGTTGACAAATTGAATTTCTCCTTTGCTTTGGATTCTGCACAGGTCCACAGATCTGACCTGTCACTGTTTGGTCTCTATGAGGATAGAATGGTATAATACCAGACTGTGAAATATACCAGACAATGCAATAACATTTTCATGGAGAAAAGCATTGGACAGACTCTACACCAGTAAAGTTACGCAGTGCACCTTTAACATGTTTCAGCCTCTTTAGGCTTGGTTTTGCTTAAGTTTTACAGTGCCGTTCACCTGGGTGGGGTAAGAATTCCTCTGAATCTTGATCCACATCCTCTTGTATATTTTCCTTCTGTCTCGGTCTTCAGTGGTGTAGATTCCTGCTCTCTCATCAGTCAGTCTTTGGTGGAAACTCATCTGAAATTATGTCAGCTCCAGCTCTAAGAGAATGGGAGCGGCGCACCAATCATTTACACAGAAACATAATACCAGTGGTGAGTCCAGAGTGCTGCTTTCCTGACATTTTTATGTGACTGCGTGGCACTGAAGTGGGCCCAAGACACTCAAGGAACCAAAGAAGAAGCAGGGTGGAGAGGAAGTGCATTTTTATAGGTTTCTATACAACTAAAAGTAAAAAATACAAAATCACTGGCCACTGAGGATGGCTGATTTCCTATTTCATTGCATTCCCATGGATTTAAAGTTTTTTTCTGACCATTCTGAATCAGAATGTACTGGGTTTGACTGTGCTCTTAGGGTGCGTTCACATTTGTACGTGGCCCTGGTTTGAGCCCAGTTTAATCCTGGTATAGACTTGGTTTGGTCCTCTTCTATTTCTGGTGTAGCCCTGGTCTATTCCAGGTTTAGCACAGGGTTTTGTCTTAGTTGAGTCTCAGTTAGTTACATACTCACTTAGTTGTAATAGCCGTGGTCATAGTGATTGAAGCTGAATTTGTAGAAGCCAGTAATAAATAGTACAATCCAGTAATAAATATGTGGTTGCACATTTATATATACTGGATTAATATTCTTTTGAGGAAGCATAAATTGCTTAATACTGATTAAGAGTATCACTTCAGGGATCTAAACATACCCAAATGGCTTCTAACTTACAGTTAGAAGCTGTTAAGGTATTTTTGATGTTGTGGACATATTCTGCCCCAGATAACCTTGTGTGGTTATTTGTTTAGCAAAGCTTCCACATCTGTCAGATGTGTGGTGTTCTCAAGTACATAGTAAGACCTAAATCTATTAGTTTATTCTAGGCCACATAAAAGTCTAGACTCTTATGTCTCTTGCTTATGTGTGATTTAGTGTGCTTGTACCCTTCTATGTATAAATACACTTCTCTGCAGTTTATTTTGTTATCCCCTGCTGTGCATTTCTGCCCCAACATTTAACCACCTACATTTTTCGCCTTGTGGGTTGTTTCGTCATTATAGTGTTGGCATTCATAGTTTGACAGTTCCTGGCCACCACTAAAAATCTATCTCAAATCAGGACATGATGTCATGTCTCAAAACAGAAATTAAAACATATTTATATAAGTTATTTTCACTGTAGTGTGAAACGTGGCAGGATAAGAAGCCTACATTGATTCTATCTTCATTCTTCTTTATTTTGTTTCATTTGTGTATGGTTCGGTCAATTTATAAAATACTTTAAAATATGTATGCTGTAGTCATAAAATATATAGGATCAATATGTTTAACTTATTGTCTGATTAACAGATCAGACAATAATATTTCACTAGGCCTACATCTTACTTCGTTCTTACATGTGGGATGTTGAACACAGATGCCCCACAGATGAGATTATGCATACTTTTCCCTTGGGTGAACATTGACTGCAAATATTGAGGGATTTTATTTATATTTTTTTTTATACATGAACTTCATAAACTTCATTCATGAATTTAGCTGTGTGTTGAGGTCCATTTCTGTAGCTATGTCTTATCATTTGTACATAAGTATAATTTAAATGGCAAATTTAGACTGCCAGTACAGAATGCAAATCTTCTAATTCATTATTAACTTTATGTAAAATTTTGTGTTTTACAGCGGCTCTCCCCTTCATCATCATGACAATTGTATCCAAGCCTTACCATAGACGTATCTACTGTGACGACGAGAGCATCCAATACCCCCTCAAACCTGACACCATCACACATGGCATGCTGGCTGCTGTCACCATCTCCTGCACAGTCATCATAGTAAGCGCCACTCAACACCGCTACATAAAGGTCCTCTATTACGCAAAATTGACTCTTGTGAGCTTTTAGCCATATATTAATGTAACCCTCTCAAAAGATTCCCAGGGTTGTGTTTTTGGCAATTCCAGAGGCAAGTTTTTTATGTTAAACATTTGTGAATGAAACAAAACATAACTCCAGGTATGTTTTTGATGAGAAAACAACATTATAACTAGGGGTGTCAAATTATCGCGTTAATTGCGATTAATTAATTACAGTCATATTTAGCGCGTTGTTTTTTAATCGCGTTAATCTCATTTTTAATCTCTAACTTTACTGTTTCTGTATGCGAGTTGCTTTATTATAAAACCTGTTTTTATGTGTTGTTGGAACAACAACACACACACAAAAAACACATTTATATATTTTTTTATTTCGGTAATTCCACTCATTGCCGGAAACCCACACAGAACGCGCGCAGTAAGAGCGATGTAAACGTCAGTCGCACAATGGACGAGGTGGAAGAGCCAGTAGAACAGAGGCAGCAGTGCACAGGTAAAAACACATTCGTGTCTTGGAAATTCTTCTCCCGACGTGAAATATAAAAGAAAATAACACATATAAAATCGCCTACAACTTAAATGTCACTGGTGAAAACAACCTGCATAGGCTCATGATGTCTGCACTACTGTCCTATAGTGACCTGCCACATGAGGGGACACGCACAAAAACACACACAAACACACACACAAACACACACAAACACACACCTTCATCATCGTCATTACCCTGAGAACGCGCGGACCACGTTTCCTTCCGTAGACACTGCGCGGACACCGACGTGCTCCCGTGCGCCGCGTGTGCATCGTGTTTTCTCGCGTACGCTGCGTAAACCGCGCTTCCTCCTGTGCGCCTCTAAACCAGAACTAACACCAAGACTAAAACCAGGACTAATCCAGTCCAGGACTAAACCAGGACTAAACCAGAACTAAAAAAAAAAGGAAAAGGGAATAATTCAGATTATTTATTAAGCCACCTGTTATTGTTGGTTACTATGACGGGTCCAATTCTGTACCAACAGAATATGTTAAAATGACCTGTTTCCAGAATTTCCCTACTCCCTACCTACATCTGTTAGTGGACAAAAGAGTCAATATAACAGTGACAGCAAGCCTTCAGTGGAGTACAACTAGATGCCATGACAACATAAACAATTATCCATTTATTAGTGTATAATGTGTATAAATGATCCTGCCTGTCACGTGTGTTGTTCTCTGTGAACAGCATTAGTGTAGCTGAATAACGTGTGTTCTATGGTATATGCAAATCAGACTCCACAGACTTAATGCAATGTGCTGATTAAAAAGTATCTATTTATACATTTTGAGCTGTTTAATCAGCAAGTCCACATTTTTCATCAGTCTTGATGGCAAAATGGCAACTTTATTTGACAAGGATTTCAAACTTGTTGGTGGTGCTGGTCCACTCCTACAGTCAAGAAGCCAGTTAAATTTGATTTTATAGTAATCCCTGTTTTATGTAGTGTAGTTATGCTCGATTGTTTCATTGTATAATACATTTCAATACAATTCTCACCTCTTCTTAGATCTCATCTGGTGAAGCCTATTTAGTCTACAGCAAGAAGATATACTCAAATTCCAGTTTCAACCAGTATGTAGCTGCTCTTTACAAGGTTGTGGGGACCTTTCTGTTTGGAGGAGCTGTAAGTCAGTCGCTCACAGACTTGGCCAAGTACACTATCGGCCGCCCAAGGCCAAACTTCATGAGCGTGTGTGCACCCAGAGTCTGTATCAGCTACATTGAAGCAGCAAACTGCACCGGGAGGCCACAGGATGTCACAGAGTCCAGGTAATTATTAAATATATTTTAGTAGATGATTGTTCATTTGAATTTTTAAAGTTTTCCTAACTGACATAAAAATTACAGTAATACTACAATGTCACCAATACTACTACAATAATTTGTTTGCTTGTTTCTGCAGTTTGTCATTTTACTCTGGGCATTCATCATTTGGCATGTACTGCATGCTCTTCTTGGCGGTGAGTTGAAATTACAATACTGTAATTTTATTGTAGAGGAAATATTAGCAAAGTCTTTATGCGATGTCAAAGTAAATATTTAGTGACATGAAGCAGCCTTAATAGGTCTCAATTTAACTTATGTACAACCCAAAGCTCGCTATGAACAAGCTAATTTTATGCCTTCAAACTTAAAGGAAGAAATGTAAGAAATGAAAAAAAAAATGCCTTGTTTTCTTGTCTTTTCTGTCTGCAGTCTGATTTACAGCTGTATTTTGGCTGTGTTCCTCTATGTTAAAAGCCAGGTCTGAGACTAAGATGGAGGGAGACATTAAAGCTGTCTGAAAAGCTGTTTAGTTGCATGTACTAAATACTGTAAATAAAAGGTTTTGAGTTCCATCCAAATGTATGTTGGCTTGTGTATTGTAACTTTATTTTTTGTTACCACACTGTGAGACCAAAGGGCACTTTTGCATGTATAGTGTTGATTTAAAAACCTCTTGAGTCTTTCTTCTACCACCCTGATTTATTTTACTGCTTTCTTCCCCCTATAGCTTTATGTGCAGGCCAGACTTGCTGCTAAGTGGGCCAGACTTCTCCGACCAACCATCCAGTTCTTCCTGGTGGCCTTTGCCGTGTATGTGGGCTACACTCGCGTTTCTGATTACAAGCACCACTGGAGCGATGTGCTGGTGGGACTGCTGCAAGGAGCGCTGGTGGCTGTGCTCAATGTAGGTACCCAAAGCTGAAGAAAAAAATACTAAATCAATCAATAATAAACATTGTATTGTTCAGTGTTTAGTGTAATCTTAAACTTATATCTGATTAAAGCATTTTATACAATTAGAAAATAAGTTGTGAATGTTACTAAAGTTTAGTCAAATGGCACTATTTTATTTTTTTTTTTCAATTACTCAATTAGTCATTAGATTTCAACAGGCCTCTGAGTTTGAGCTATAGTTAGAGAGATGCAGCTTGAACATATTTTGAGTATGCTTGCAGAGAAAAGGGGGTTTCATCAAAACCCTACAAACCTCTTCACTCAGTACATAGCATGTTTTGGAGTCTGTGTTTAATGCACATAACCATTATTTCATGACTTAATTGAGTGACGATTATTTCAATCACTGTTGTTAATTATTTAAATAGTTGTGGTTAGTCCAAGGAATTGTTTCAGCCTTAGAACCACACACAGCTCTGGCAGACTCTTAGGAAAGGTCGGGTCTTCTGATGCAGCTGGGCGTCTGTTTAGTTGGACCACTTCCCTGTTTTGATTCCACCTCTGTCAGCACCAGCCAATTCTTGAGTGGCCAACCATTTGGGTGTCTATGATTAATTGTGAGTCTGTGCCGTTGGCCTTGCAGTCCTTGGTGAAATTACAACCCCTCCTGGGCATCTTTTTTACTGCCCATAGCAGACTGGCTGCAAACTGTGTGTTCCCTTCAGAAGTGTGTTGGTTAACAGCTGTGCACAGGCCTGCACAGACATATGTAATCACAGTTTCCAGCCCTCACCTCCTCTGTATCCCTTACATGTTCACAACTGCCCAATGACTAGCACTCTCCTCATTAACTCCTCTGCAGGTGCACTTTGTGTCAGACTTCTTCAAGAAACGCCCTCCACGTCGGTGCACCCAGACCACAGTGGAGAGCGAGGAAGCAGAGAGGAAACCCAGCCTGCAGATCGCAGACTCGGAGCACAGCAACCATTACAACTATCACCAGAACTCTGGTCCTGTCTAGGGCAGAAGGAGCAGACCACACAACACGCAGTGTGAGGGCCTGGAGGATCCTGTGGACATGGTGGACAAGCTCAGCGTTCTCAGGCTGACTTCAGCTCTTTGGTCTGGTTCTTTATGTGAACCACTCACCCATCTCAAACCACTGGACTGAGAGACGAGGATATCCAGACTACACAGAAATGTTTCCTTCTTCCCTCCAAAGAAAGCATTTTATTCAGAAAACACAAAGTAAAATATCAATAAGCTTAATTTGGTTGGGAATCCATTGACTGGCCTGGCTTCTGCTGGTTGTATTGATTATTTAAGAATAAGAGTTATCATGGCTCAAAGATGCACAACCACCATCCCTGCTCAGAGCCTCTCCCTGAGTTAATGCTGGTAGACAGTTTACTCTTACATTTCTCAAGTCATGTTATCAGAAACAGTAAAACATTCAGTTTGTTAAGTATTATCAATACCTGTTTGGTGAATGTAGCTTTACATTTTTGTTTTTACTGTTTTTATTTTAGTGCATCACAGAGACAATAATAATGCCCATTTTCTGCTGTATGTCCCCAGTGGAAAGGCTTCAAATGATTATAAGCTTCAAATTGTCTTAAGGTGTATGTGCTGTCATTAGGAGGGTTTGATACATCTCTACATTTGCAGTAATCAAATACATGTCGAGATACAGGATGTGAGATATGAAATGTCAGTCAGGTTCAGTGCTTTATAGGGTTTTCTTTTTTAGTACTGATGGGTTTTGTTTGAAAGCTGTTTGGAAGGTATTATGTTGACTGTACTGTGTGTGTTGTGAGGATATATCTTGCTATTGATTATTTTTTACAGTTTTCATAGAAGCACACATTTTCCAGACATATTCTGTCAGCTTTGTTTCCCTGTGGACCCGTTTATCACGTGCGTGTATAGCTTAACTTACTTTAAAAATGAATACAAAAGCATACCACTAATATTATAATTATATTTGCTTTTCTTTAGACGTTCTTTTTTTACGCCTATTTTAAAATGGAAGAAATCGGCTTAAAAAACTAATTTATTTGAAACATCTGCTTTTAGTTGGAATTTTCTGCACTACTTTCATGTGCAATCATGGATGCTTGCCACTATGAGCCAGAAATACTGTTAAAGGCATGAGACTTGCTCCATGTTCCTGAAGGATGTGAGCCTATGCTATAATATGTTTTATATGTTTTATTTTACATTAAGTGTGTGCATGATTAGGCCTGAATGTGTTACTTTGGTGCTTTTTCTGTTGGTAGTACCTACCACAAAAATGCTCTCATATTCCAAACATAAGCCAGATGCCTTGGCAGATCTTTTAAGGGACTCTTGTAATGATTAAGACTAACACAGCCAAAGCCGAAGATACTGACCCAGCCCCACTTCAAAGCACTGCCTCTTCCTGTGCTGATACTCGGGGCTCATTTGTGCTGAGTGTTTCCTGTACAGTGCTGCAGCGGAGCTGGGAGCAGACGTCAGTGAACACCACAGCCCTGCCCGGACCTAAAGGGGGACCAGTCTCACCTGGTAATGATTGTGAGGCTCATGAGCAGAGCTGAGACTGGGGAAAGGTGGCATGCTTTAGTGGGGCGGGGTCATGGTTATCCCATAATGAACTTTGGTCCCTGGAGTCTTCCCCACATTGAAAACACATTTCTAACACAAAGCAGCTGGAAGTGCTTGTGGTGTGGTGGCGTGTGAGCCCCCCTTGCCTCAGTGTACATCTAAGTCATCGGAGTGTTACTGAAGCCAGACCAAGGCCTTGTATAGTCTGTCCTTCAGACCTGGTGACGTGGCTCTGTGCTAAAGATTTGTTAGACTATATGTATTGCGAAGTCTACCCTTATTGGTTGTTGTGTGTGTGATTGTTATCCAAAGACATTTAAATAAAGTTATGGAAAACTGTTTACATGTCAATTTATTTGTTGTAAGCTGTAGTAGTTTTTGCAATATATTGATAGCCATTGTGATAATTTTTACCTTTGTCTAAAGGTCACAGTGGACCGAGTTTTGCCATCCCCTTGAAAACAGAGGCAAACTGTTGCTTGTTAAATATTGTCTGATCTCTGACATTAAGCAGGACTGGTTGGGATAAGAGACTGCTGGGAATACATGATGTGTGAATGATTGGTTGTGACTGGGAGGGCTAATGGCACAGATTGGCAGCCTCACTTCCATCAGTCTACTCGAGGGCAGCTGTGGCTACAATAGTAGCTTACCAACACCAGATGTGGAGAGAATTATCATTATAGCCCCCAACACTTTCATTTATTCTCTAAATTATTGTAGATGAATATATACAATGTTACAAATATGATTCTGTCTACTGCAAAATGCAGAGGTGTACACAGAATAAATAACACATGTTTATAATGAAATAAACTGTGCCAACTGAAGTCCCGTGGGTCCAGAGGCACATAAAACACCGTCACTGCACGTTAAACGATAGGCCTATTACTCACGAGCGTGTTATGGTCGCTGTTTTGTTTCAAGTGTTTTCTTTGTTATCATTAAGATTCATCATCACTTCATTCACCACAGCCCTTCATGATACCTCTGGAGAGATTTAACTCCTGTGATGAATATCTTGCTCAATGTAGACTATTTTACATTTTGGACATAAACAGTGTTTTACTGTCTGTATAACTTTTCTGGTTATATCTACGGAGATGTTATTACTTTGGGCCACGGACTTATCTATTTGGCTAATTTAGATCGGGGTAAACAGGGTAGACATTTGAGTGAGTGCCGACGACCTGGAAAAAGCTGTAAGGAACACGTGAGAGAGGAGGTGGTCACAGTCCAGGAGGTCTCTGAAGGTCTTGGACTAGTCTTGGACAGTGTCTCTGTGCTCAGGGGCCAGTATAGGGGCCAATGAGGAGAAGGGCACATTCAGGCAGCACAGAGGCACAGCAGAAGCAGTTTACCTGGCTACTGGCCATCTTCACCACTGCCACCAGCGCATGGCCCTGAGGAGGGATTTATACATTTCATATTTACACACGCATTTCCCTCACCTCCGCCAACATGTCCACATCTTTCCCCCTTTTCCCAGTCACAGCCTGGGCCTGGAGATTTATGCCTGATGGGGAAAGAATCCCATTGTGGAACAACACCAACAAGCACACAAGTCTTCATCCAGGAGCTCTGTGACAGACCGATCAAACTGCCCCTGGGTCTCCTCGGTGCAGTGTCCTGGGACACTGCAGCAGTTAGTGCTCGGTAAGATATTTATTTTTATGTAATGTGTAAAGCAAGGCAATATAGGCCATTTTTTTATTTTTAAAGACAGACAACCAGTGACCACCGAGGTTCCGTCATGAAGCGAGTGTTTTTTTCACATCTCTAAGGCAGGGTATTCAAAAAGCTATACGCCAGACAATTATAAAAGCACAATTGCGACATCGCGTGGTCGGGATTGAATCTCCATATTGTCTTTATGTTAAATTGCTATTGAGAAATGTAAATTGATTAAGTGATGCGTGTTTATTGAATAATAATAAACAATGTATACGTTTTGCTCCACTGGAGCAAGTTTTGTAACTGGTTTTGTCAGTTTTTGTAACTTGGTAGACTTCAAGTCTAAAAATAAATAATAGGCCCGAAACGTTCTTGTGTGCGAAATTATTCAATTTTTTAAACTTTTATAAGATGTTACATTCAAAATTAGGACAGGATCAAGACAGTACCATTTCCACTTTACTTTTAAAAAGCCCAACATTTAATGGAGTTGTTTTACCAGCAGATGGCAGTCTTATGTCGGCATTCTAAGAGCGGTGAACCCACTCAAATTGAAATGAATTCCTTGGAACTGCAATTAAAAGCCACACAGAAAGTGTACAAACCATTACACATGCAATAGTCTACTACTATTACTTATTTACTACTACTACTACTATTACTACTACTACTACTACTACTGCTACTGCTGCTACATACTAGAAACCAAAGTCTTGTGACTGCAAGGCAAGTCATTTTGATCCAGAGCAAAGCTTCTGTGACCTTGCCTCCAATAAGGAGGCTACTGCAATCTTGCTGTTTTTGACTAATTAAAACACACATTGAAGGCACAGTATGTAATTTTCTGGAGGTGTCACATCACCTGCATGAAGCCATGGAAAAATAAGGTTAAAACCGTACTCTTTGAAGATATATGAGTTTTATGTGATAATGTGGAAGAATATGGCCAACTTTTCTATGGAAACAAGCAGGAGGAAACCCTGCTTCAGGCCAAATAAGAGTCAGGTTTGTGGAGCTGCAAGCCCACTCACAGTAAGAACACAAGATTTATTTATTGATTGATTGATTGATTTTATTTCACATTTTTCATTGCAATAAACACAACCAAAATGAAAAAAACAACAACATGATTTTATTTTTTGGCTAAAAAGTTACTGGGGCTTTAACACAGAGCTGTTATGTATGATGTATGATTTTCCGGCTCTTGTGAAGACTGGAACCTGTGGCTGCAGACTGCAGGAGCAGTGGCTCTGGGCTGTGGGGACTCTGAGGACTGAGTGACAGCGCACACTGAGAGCTGTCAGGAGCATTTGCAAGTCAATGCTCAGATTTAACCTCTCCTCTTTCCCTTCTGAGTGGATAGACTGTCTGAATCCAAAATCAGGCTCTGAAATTACACATTGACCTTGTCTAAATATTCCACTGGCATACATAAACTTATCTTTAGCAGTGGTCTAAGGACACTGTTTTAAAGGGCCTATTGAGGCATTAAGAATTAAGAGTGGATTGAATATTCTACATATGACAGACCTAAAACCTGGATTGAGTTTATGGATATTCCATTCTATCTGAAGGAAACAGATTGTGTTTTGGTTATGTCCCACTGCTGTAACAGGGTTACATTGTTACATACTCCATGTGCCACTATGTAAGTCATATCTCAGCGTTGCCCCTCAGATTAACACATGGCTTTTATGACAGATGCACTTCCTGATGCAACTCTGATAATTTATTGGGGCTTCAGGCCAACACAAAGCTTCCCATTAGTTGGGATTTCTTGTAAATTGTAAATTGTGTTTTGCAGTAATGATAATAATTTGGCAAATTCAGCTGAGAATGAATTTTCTCATACTTCCTTCCTGTCTGGCAACCCAATTTCTATCTCTCATTGATCATCCTGTTTTCTCAGCTGCATCATGCCATGAAGCTCACCATCACCAAGGAGTTTGTCATTATAACTACCTCAGACTGTGCATCCGATGTGTCAACAGCTTCAGTGTGTCCAATCTTTGTGATTAGGCCAAATGAGATGGACAGGTTTAATCCTTTAGGAAACTATATGTAGAAAAGTAGTGCTACAGCAGACCTCCTCAGCTCCTCATGTCAGGCTTAATGTGTCAGCATCTCTTTAATGTGGGTGTCACTCTCTGGGGCTATTTATTTGTACTGTTCTGCAACAGGCGGAAGAGTGTGTCTGTGTCCCGTGCGTGTGCTTGTGAGCGTGCACGGCTGCTGCTGATGTGGGTCATTACCCTTGGTCCCCCTGGGGCATGAGGGGGTGGGAGAGGTGGTAAAGGGGGAGTGTCAGTGGTCGTGGAGAGTGTAGATGTAGTAGTGGTGGGAGGGGGGTGGTGGGGGTCTCAGAGGAGCAGAGACCAATAAATCACAGTGCCGGCTCCCAGCTTGTCTGATGAGGGGGGAAGGGGTGGGATTTGTGGGGGGCTGAGTGAATGAGTATGAAGGGGGTGGGGGGTATACAATACAGTGGCCTTGTCTTCCTGTCACTCAAGCTCATGCTGGGCCAAGGAGCCATTGGTGGCCCCAACCCTCTCTCACTGGGGACATGTAAAGAGGAGACACCAAAACTTTACAAGGAAGTTGTCCACTTGACTCCATATGAGTTTTAGTTGGACACCCAGACTTAGATTAGAAAGAACCTCTTATTTTTTTAATTATATACCTATTTTTTTCTGTTTTATCTATTTTACTGTCTTCTGATGTGGTCTTACTGTGCTATGATGTATTATGGACTTTTAGTGCATTCAATGATCCCCACTTTGTTAACTATGTATAGTCATATACATAGTTAACTGACTATTTATAGTCAGCACAGCGGATATGCAGCAGAAAGCGCCGCTATCTGTGCGGTCAAGATGAAGTTACACCACTATCTAGCGCTATTGTCAGCGCACTAAAACAGTTTATCACCGTGTGATAAAATAGCTTATGCTAAATTACTAACATTAGTGAGATACGTTTTAAATGATACGTCTTAAAGGCCCATACGCGTTGAATGCAGGTGAGTATGTAAATGATGAGAAGACATGGCTCAAACTTCAATAGCCGGACATACATTCATACCTGACTGATACAACTACCCTAGCCCCTCCGGAGAGCCTGAAATCTGCTGAAATCCTACGAGACACTGCCATGATCCCAGACCATGGAGTACTACAGGACAGCGGTTCTCTCTGCAGGACACATGCGCAGTAGCGCTCGAAGTGACAGTCTGCTTATCCTCCTGTATAAATTATTACATTAAATCCTCATTGGGCTCATTGCAATTTACTGCTGGTGAGTTGCACAGATTTCACATGTCAACAAAACATGACTTAAACACAGCTGTAAAGCATTCAACTTCTTTCCAACTCCAGCGTTTCTCCAGAAAACCATCCCCAGGTGAATATTTCGAGGTATGATCTCTGTAATATTGCTGGGCTGGATGGCCCCCAACAGCTCTTTCATTCAATGGAGCGTCTCCAAAAGCTGATTGCTCGAGATGTTTTACACCCCACTTTTCGCATCTGAATGGTATTGTTCTGTTCCATTGGCAACATGCTGGAGTGATGTGAATAGTAAAATACCAAGCAGATGAGGGGAGAAAGGGGCTCCATTCTTATGCTAAAGGAGATTGTTTATTGGTTTTGCTATGACTTCCAGAGCTTGGTGGAATTTCACTCTGCATCTGCCTAGATCCTCCTGAGACATTATTGATCCTGGCAAAGTACTGTAATAGCAGCTCTTATTGGACTTTATGCTTGTGCACAATAGAAGGGCATCTTTAAATAAATAAATAAATAAATAAATAAATAAATAAATAAATAAATAAATATTGTGCTATTAACTCATTCAGCAAAACAGCCCCAAGCATCTGTAAACCACTGCCCGGAGAGGGGGGCGGAGGGGCCTCTCCATCCACATCTCCTTGCTCGTGCTCTCTGCACCAGCAGCAGACTGCAAAGTACTGCATTCCTCGTGACTTTTTCTAATAAATGTGATCCCAGAATCGGGAGAGAGAGAGAGCCCATGCGCCTTGCATTAAAATTCATAGAAAAATGGCAATAAAATCGTTCTCTCTCCCTCTCTCTCTCTCACTCCACTTGCTCTCTCCTTTCACGTTTCCATTGCCTCGCTTGTCTGGCGAACACACGCACGCGCGAGCCCACGCACATACTTTTTTCATCACCATGTGCACGTTCAATCTCTAACCCTCCTACTGGCTCGTCTTTCTCAGCATCCCCCCCGCTGTCCTTCATCCTTTATTCTCTTCCTCCTCCTTCCCTACCCCCTACCTCCCCCTTCCCCTCTCTCCCTCTCCCCGGCTCTTTCTCTCACACACATCGGGCCTATACACATTACGCACACACCCATCTATATTTTCCAACTCCACCTCTGGCAGGTTGTGATTTCCACTGTCAGAAATTGCTTTTTCAATATCTCTCTCTCTAATTATGAGCCCTGCTAAAGGGGTCGTGCCACCAGAATACCAATTTTTCCACCATTTTCCTAGCTTTTTCAATAATTCTCCAGCCTAGGTAACATCACTGTTCTTAGCTGCAAAATAACCTAACATCAGCCTTCCTATCCCTTTGGCCACCATTCACTTTTTACCTCTAACCAAGAAGGACCGAATAGAGGCCTAAACGACCTTCTACTATAACACTGAGCAGTTGCAGAAATGTACATTCTGTTAATGCATTGCCGGTTTGTGTGGTAAAAAGACGGAAAACCACTGAATCTTGATACAGCCACTACCACCACACAACTCCTGGCAATAACTCCAAGCTCCGAGGAAAGGGTTAACCTCGTAGAGTGCTTGTAGTCTGCTTGATTGACGTGTGCACCATTGTGCTACCAATCTCCACCAATCAGCAACCGGTCAGCGCACCCCACGTGGGCCCTCTCTATACCGATTGGCTCATTTTACCACTGTTTACTGTGCCTAAGCCGAGCCCCACGTGGAGATTTCATTCAATCACTGAACATTTCTTATTACGTTTCTTTTCTACATTATTCTGCCTTTCATAACATTATATGAGCCTATTATTATATATGTTTAAGATAAACAAATACAACACAATTATCTTAGACTACAAAGGAACTGTCTTTAAATTGCTGTGAGCACAAGGCAATTAGTGCAAAAAAAAACATGCACCATATTTTATGTACTTTTTTCCGGGATGTTTTAGAAATACATGGTGTAAAAGCAGTAACCCTCTTAAGATCCCCCTCCTCCTTTAAGGTTACTCATATGTTATGTCCCATTCGGATCAGAGCGGGGGGAGTGAGAGGCAGTGAGGGACTGGGGAGTGCTGTGTGAAAAGAGTGCAGGCCAGCGCGCAAGACAAAAGAGAGTGCGTTCAATGTGCCGCTGCTGTGTCCGTCTTCGAAGCCTCAAGAAAACTGTCTCCTTCTGCTCTGGCCTGTTCTTTCCACACAACCCACACGGACAGGACAGGGCTACCCGATCTGCTGAAAGCGCCAAGTTATACGGACTTGGGCGCGGTAAAAGCGGAGGAAACAAGCTAGCTTCGCCTCCTCTACCCGGCTGGTTTCCCCAACCTCGCCTACAACTACGCGGTGCGCTGTAGTGTGGTGCGGTGTGCGCTTGGAGATACAACCCAGGACAAAGGAGTCTTGAAGCAAGGAATGAGCGAGTCGAGACTAGCTTTGGCTTTACCTTTGAAAACAGGCCAAATGCCTCTCTGAAGGCAACAATAGTGATTCCACAGCTCGCATTTCTCGACGAAGCAAAGGAGGGCAAGAAGAAGGACAAAAAAAAAACACACAGGGAGGCACACACATCGGCTGCTAAAATGTTTCCTCAAAACCGACCACCGGTAAGTAGTTAACTGCTCTTATTATTTGTCACAAGTAAATGAATGCCATTTTACGCACATCATTTTAGGCAAGTACATTTGTAGAAAGAAAAAAGACCGCTCCTGTAAACAATGTAACAATATATCACTTCACTTTTCTTTGTCTAACTTATGTTGTAATCGTTTTTAGTTCAGACACAGTTACAGTTTAGCCTCTCTTACAACTTTCCTTTTGTGTTTTGTGCGCAATTCTCCAGTCCTTGATGGCCACCGTAGCCATATGATCATCGTATCTTCATTTAAGCGATTGTGAAGTTGACCCATTTGATAAAGAGTGTATTTCTCACGTTTATTTTCAGACTGAGAGCAGAAAAGTGAGACGAGCTTGTTGACACTTTCACTCAATGCCCATCTGAAGACAAGTGGCTCTCATAGTTATTTAATCTAATATTAGCAGCATGCAGCAATTGGCCAGTAGAAGTATAACTTCTCTGTTTACCCGTCCTTATATACTATTAATATAAAGCATTTAAATGTTCTTTTCATTTGTTTTTGCGGAGATTCTTTTGAGCTGTTCAAAATACATAAACACTGATCCTCCAGCTGTATGAAGTATCAATTAAGACCTCCTCATTTGCCTAACCCTCATCTCCATCCCTCTGGCACCCCTTCTCTCCCACCCTCCACCCCTGATGGTGTTTTGACATTCATGTCGCACAAAGAAACCAGATTAGTGTGAAGTAGATGGCATTTTAATCAATTCCTCACAGAAATTAAAGGTTTTATAGACTGTTGGCTGCATACTCAGATTCCATTACAATTGAGCCAGATTTCCATTCTATACTTCCCTGTGATAGCTTGTTCTTTCCACATGTTTTTCAGTGTATGTAGTGGAGTGCAAGGAGGCAGCAGGGCAAGAGGAGGCAGACTGTGGCTTTGAGGTTTTGCACTGTAAACCCAATCCCTCTCATCTAGCCTGTGTTCCCTGTGCGAGCTCCAAACCACATCTTAATGTATGGTCAGGCGTCCTGGGGCGTAGGGGGGCAGACGGTGGCGGTCCGGACTGGAATGTGGTGTGCGGTGGCCCTGTTTTAACCCTGGACCACATCTCCACACAGCACCATGCTCTTGTTTGCACCTCCTGCCAGTGCCACTCAGCTAAGGCGAGCTGCTACATCTCTGAAATGCTACACTGGCAGGGAGCTGTCATCACTGGATACAGAGGTGTTGTAAAGGGGATGACCCATATTTTATACAGGCGTGTGACCCACATTTTATGATCCGCATTCATCCAGGACAAAAAAGATAATAGATGTTTACAAGGGAAAACGTATTGAAATGGCCAATTATCAACCATCAACATGACCACAAATGGCCAAAATATTTTCAAAGTAGATTTTGTTTTAGAAATCCATTGTACAGCTGCACAGCACATGTACTCAGATATTCAAGCTTGTCTAAAAACCCACACTGACAGCATGCAAAATCTCTTCATGAAGTTAATTTTCTGCTTTTTTCATTTTTGTAAATACTAATGCATGCTTTTCCACCCACGGCCACATTATCAACATTGGTCATTGTTTTGTGAATGACCATTGATCAGCTGAGCACATGGAGAGTGAATAGGCTGAAGGAAATTCTGGTTTAGCAGATGTGCATGGTGATGGAGAGAACAAGCTAACAGTAGGGTGTATGTGTGTATGTGGGATTTACCTAATAAAAGGAAAGCACCTCCAGCAATTAAGCCAGCTGACAGGCAAACTGTGGCACGCTGCTAATGTGGGGTGACAGCGGGGAAATTTGAATAACGAGGCTTGTGGGTTGGAAGAGAGGAGAGGGATAGAGAGAGAGGGTGAGAGAAAGAGGAGAGGGAGAGAGGAATGAGGCGGTAAAGAAAGATGTGTGGTTGCTAATGAAAACAGGTGCCTGGCAGACCCCTCCCCTCTAAGTGCAGGAATCACTGGGAGATTAGCAGCAGGGGCGACAGAGCTGTGTCATTATTCCTCACCGCATGCCTCTGGAACAATGCAAATCACCTTGCCACATCAGCAGTCCTCTTCCAACTGTCTAATACTGTGTGATTGGAGGTGACTATGTATTGGAAAATAATGGAGAAAATATTTACTTTGAGTAAAAACCAAAATTTAGCTCCAGGAAACATTTAGAAATATTTTGAGTGATGCCAACTTCACCTATACAAAAAAGAAAGCTTATTAGCCGTTATGATCCTTAAAGGTATCTACGTTAATTTGGCTAACAATGTCATTAGCGCTTCTGTCTAGGCCTTGTTAAAGGTGCTGTAAATAGTATGTGCCTTCCCGGAGGTAGCAAGATGAGAGGGAACGAGGCAGAGCTGGGTGGGTGTTTACTGTGATGTGAGGCTCTGGGTATAAGCAGTGTAATTAGTGGCCAGTCTAATGGGCAATGCTACATCGAGCAGGCAGCAAAGATGGCATCTTCTCTTCTGAAGGACGGACAAATTTAAAGCTGGAAACAGCAGTGTTAACATCCAGCTCTGGAAACGGTGGGGGGTCCTCTGGCTGTAAACAACACACAAAATTATATGTTCTACATTGCATTTGTGCAAATGTTCAATAATGGTAACCACTTTTTGCTTGAAGTTAAGGGTGGGCGATATTGACAAAAATGAAAATCTTTTTATTATCCTGATATTATGTCAAACAGAAATGTACAAAAATCTGTCCATGTACGTTGATCTGTATATTTTTTGTAATCTTTTTATTACATATTCAAAATGTTCATATCTTAATAACCTTCACAAACCTTCACATTATTATCATTATTTCTAAAATATGCCCTCCTCTACCTGAAGCTGTAATGTATGACACTTTTAGCAAAGAGTAAACATCTCATAGACAATAGACTGGTGCAAACCGATTCTTACTCTTCTTTTGTTTATTGTTTTCTGCTTGACCTGAAAGTTGCAAGGGCTGTAATATATTCCACACTTGAGGGCCATGGTGGGAGAATGCACAGTTCACCTCACTGTAACTGAAGAATGCACATATTGACAACCATCCAAACTACATTCATGAAATTTGCAATGTAACTTATGTTGCATTATCCTGTGAAAGACCAGGATGCTAGCCAGTGTCCCTGTGTCCCCTCCAAATGGAATTTATCAGTGATTATCCAGAACAACTTTTCTCAGAGACATTTCATGAAGAGGAAGACTGAATGAAGGGATTTTGTAAAGCGACATTAAACAGCTACAGCCATTAGCAAATTATCCATCAGTGTGGGCAGCAGCATCCTGTGGTTTCTCATTGGTACTGCTGTTTCCCTCATGAACAGCATAAAGTGCATATGTACTTGTAAATACTTGAGGAAGTCTGGAGTGCACACATCCTTTTAGAGCTAGAGCAGACCTGTGGGGGCAAGTATGCTCCTGAGGCTGTGTGATTCAACAAGCAAGTGAGGGAGGATGTGAGGTCATGGGACTGTGTGTTAAAACCCTTTTTGATTACTGCAAGGTTTTAAGGGGATTGTACTGTTTTATCAATCAAGAGATACCACCTAAAATATGTGGTATTGTGTCTTCTTGGTAAGTGTAAACCAGTGTACCATATAACTAGGCCTGTCACAATAACACATTTTGAAGCATGATATATTGCAATAAATGGTAATATTGAAACTACTTTATGCCACTGGCACTTTATGCCACTGAAGTTACTTTCTTGAACTCTCTACAGCTCAAATCATATTGTATTACTAAAACTTAAACATTTTACAAAAATATTAACATCCATGCAAAGAAAATGTACACACAATAAATATTGAGCTCCAAAATATATTGTTAAATCGATGATGTTGGTATTGAATGATAAGTTGATATAGTAATTATTGTGGCTGGCCTACACACGCTTGCGTGGGTTGCTGAGATGTTTGTATGTGTACACAATATGTGTGAAGTTCCTGATTGGATTTTTGCTCCCTGCCTCTCACTGAAGGCATGTGCTTAAAATCCCCATAGACAACTCATTGTGTTTCCACTCTCATCCCTTCATCATCAGGTCCTCATTTAATCATTGCAATAGACTTAGGCTTTCATGGGTTAAAGCAGATTAGTGTGTGCGCGTGCCTGGACATCGAATGTGACAGGCTTCCCTCTTTCTACTGGGATACTTCTTTACTAACTTTAGCTTAGGCTTTCCCTGCCTGCATTGTGCAATGGCAATGATCCCAACACCTCCTCTGATTTGTCTAAACAGTTGAGTAATCAGATGATCCTTAATCATATCAGAGTAAAGCTTGTCCTGTCCACATGGGCCCATCTCAGTCTTCTCTTCATATTACCACACACACAGATTGACTTCAAAAAGATCTTGTGTGTAATTGTGTAAAAGAGATTTCCGTCTATGTAAGCTTTGTTCAAGGGCAGATGCCTTGTCTCTGTTTGGAGCAAAGACATGACTGGGATTATCGGGTGATTCGGTGGAACTGGATCCATTGCTGAGGGTCATAGGGTCAGACTGATGGTTGGCCTTTGCCATTAAAGACTGATCAGCTGTTTGGTCACTGAGCAGCTTGGCTAGCAGCAGGATATGAGTGGTGTGGTTTAGGACTGTCGTGATAACAAATTTTGAAGTACAATATATTGCGGAAGTAAATATAGATGTTTAAAAAACAAATTTATGCACTGACACAATAACCCTAGAGCAGATTTCAACCAAATGAAGACTATATAAATTAAAGATTTACTTACTTACAAATAAACTATTCTAAAGGTACAATAAAAAATATGAGTTGCAATTAAGTGTTTCATTCTGCAATTATTTTTTTTTAAGTACTTAGGTTGCATCTGTAATGAGTCAACGAAGTTATTAATTCAACCTTTTACGTCCTAAATCTTATCATATAGGCAGAAAATTACCCAAGATTTCCCAGTAGTGCAAAGAAAAAGCACACACAATAAATATTGAGCCCAAAAATATGTTGTTCCAGCTTTTATATACTGAATGATAAGTCGATTATATTAATTACCGTGACAGGCCTGGTGTGGTTTTGTTACTGCAGTTATAAAGTGGTATGATGTTTTTGTGAATTAGTCACAGGGAGTGTGCTGTTGTCCCGTTGACTTACTTTTGTATTAGATGTAAAAATGAACTGAAGTGTCAGACATATTTATCATCACACTGTTGCCTGTTCGCCTTTCTCATATCATTAACCTACTGAACCACAATTGATTTCCTTTTTCATTTGAAGAGTGCAATATCCCTGTTCATGGCATTCATTCAAACCTATTTTTATTCTCATTTTGTATTCTGGGCAGTGGGCACTACCTCTCTTCTCACCTGAGACTCCATAGATAACACTGTGGTTTAAGAAAGAAGGATGTAATTTAGAAAAACTAAAGTGATGGAGAATCTTCCCTTTCTTCCATGTTCTATCTTGTATAAAATGGCCTTGGTGCTCTTTTCCTCTGCTGTGAAGAGTAATTGGTGTGTGAGGAGAGAGGGGCTGTGTGTTTAATCAGAGGTTTGTGGGAGCATTGTGGTGTGCGCGTGTGTGTCTGTGTGTGCGCGTGTGTGTGTGCGCGCATGTGATGTTGGTGTGTGCTCCAGGAGGGGGATCTGGCCGACAGATTGAGAGCAGCTTGTTAGAAAGAGGAACAATGAGGCCACAGCACGCTCCTATGGTCTTTTGCCTTTCTTAGTCCTTATTTCCCTGTCTCATCGCATCGCCTCTATCCCTCAGCTGAACAGTAGTGCTGCCACTCTCCTTGGAGCCCGACTTGTTGTGATTATAAGTGTCTAATTAAGCGCCATTAGTGTGTGACAGACATCAGTGTAGAACACGGAGAAGTGCACTCCTTTCTTAAACCAAATTAATTATTACAGTTGTAGTGAATGGGTTTATTAAGATGGCTCTTTACTGGAGAATACATCATCGACACAATAACAAGACAACAATTGGGTATATACACAGTTACATTACAATTGTATGAATTACAACAAGCAACACCTGAGATGTATATGTGTGTGTGTATGTGTGTATATGTGTATATGTGTATACGTATATATATCATCATCCTGGTGATGATCTTCAAATGCCGTGTCTGATGTTCAAGTATTACACAAATAGTGAATGGACTGTAAAACAGCCACAAATCTTTTTAACATTCAATTAAACAAGTGCCATTTTCTATTCCTTTCTATTTTTATAATCAGCTTTTCATCTCACACCTCCAGTATTTAGTAACTAGTGTATTATTGTGGCTTCACCATTTTCAATCCAAAAATGAAAGTGGTTTGCAAGACAATTTCAGCCATATTTCTTAATATCATAGTAATGGTATCAATTCAGTTTTCATTGATTTTAAATATTAGTCATAATTTAAACCTTCTTTTCTCAAATTCTTTACAGTTTTATTTAAATCTACTGTAATTGTTGGTCATAATATTTATTGTGCACAGAATCTAGAATTGCATAAGTGTAAAGGGGGGATGGACCAAGTTTCCTTTCAGTCTGGTTTAAGCCTTCACTGCGTGATTTGAGGCTGCACACTGGAATACAAAAACGCACACACGTCTTTTTCTTTAAATGCAAATGCCTGCAAATAGCCCAAGGAAGCAGGCTACATTATTATCAATCACTGGGGAGCCAGACAGCGCTCCGAGACTACAGGTAAAGAATGCGCACAACAAGAAAACAAATGCCTCTTTCATTTTCCATTACTGTCTGTGGGAGGAAAAACTGTGCCTAACTGACATTGGCGAGACAGTTTATAGCAGTGGGCAAGCCTCACAGGTTGGATATTTGTATCAGATTAACCTGCTAACAGAGCATTCTCCGCAGAGACGCTCATTAATGCCTGTCACTGAACTTCAGTGTCTCTGTTGACCACAGGCTGCTGGCCCTTGAAGCAGCTCCCAGGCCCCGGCAGATTCTTCAGCCTGTTATTTTGACACTGAGCCAAATAGACAGGGAGACGTACAGCTCCTGACTGCCCCACCAGCCCTGCTCTCAGCCCCCTTTGTGAGCCTGTCCTGCAGCATTACCCCTATGGTTGTAGCCTCCTAATTGCTCTGGACCCTGCAGAGAGGGGCGACTAAGCACAGTGTTAGGGAGGGGCCCACAGACAACAAATTTTTTGAATACTTACTACTTCATTTCATTCAGTTTTATTACTATATGGTATTTTTATCACTTTTTTATGGCGCTGAAAACTAACTTGTAGGCAATTTCAAGTGCTGGAATTATAAATATGTTCTCCTTGCATTTATAAATTGGGCCTGATGTTTTACTGAACAACTACTTTAGTACGTTTGATTGATTGTTTTCCTCTCTCCTCAGGCACCTCTACAGCCACCCCCGGGGTCTTCAGCCTCTGTAGTGGCAGCAGCTGCTGCAGCGGCCGCAGCATCAGGTACACCTCAGTCCCTGAAACTCACCTACCCAGAGACACTGGACCGCATCAAGGAGGAGTTCCAATTCCTTCAGACCCAGTACCACAGGTGTGACACTCTAATTGATGTTCGTATTATCACAGTGTAGGGGCCTTTGTTGAATCAGGCTGTTGATTGGCTCAGTGGTTGTGCATAAAGGTGTTATGTATTTTTCCATCGGTTCTTTAAATCCGCTCCAGGTTTTCCTTTGTGCTGATGTCCACTTATTCACACAGCCTCCAAATTTCTGCCTGTGATAATGTGAGCCAAACATATGCAATGTTTTGACTAACTCTCTTGGCCCACATCCAGCAGGTACTCTGCAAATGTTGTCTTTGGCCAGCAGCCTCCACAAATGAGTGCGTAGTGCGTATGCAGGCTCCTCCTCTGCATTCCTCATGTGCAGGAATGAGTGGCCTCAAAGTCTTTGAATGTGGGATTTGTGTTGGATCTGGAGTCCCAGCCTTTCCCACTCTCTGCTCCCCTCCTCTTCATCTCTTGGCACACCTTCACAGGGTCCTCTGCCCCCTCCCGTGGATGCTCTGCTCTCATTCGGCTTTGATTTTAGCTGGCTGCAGTCTCCCCTCCCTCGCCGCCATCCAACTTCAAACTTCTTTTATAAGCCCTTCTCAGTCCACATCCCCTCGAACCTCTGGGCTACTGTGTGTGTCCTCTTTTATTCTGTTTGGCCAAGCTTTGAACAAACACTGCAGAATAATCCCATGTATTAGACTTTTATGACCACCTTTTATCTAATTCAGTCTGTTGGCTTTTCAAACGCATGCAAACAGAAGGATGATTGTATTTGCAGGTTGCACTTGTGCTCAAATCCAATATGCATATTTTACGAGATTTTGTTAGAGACTCATGCGTGATGAAGGCGTTCTGCGTGGTGGTCAAGATGGGCCGCAGGTTCATGTGTGCATCTTGGTAACCATGGTGCCTCAGGTTGGGTACACATCAGCCTAGTTAGTTACAGGACATGGACAGAAAACCTTTCTTCAGTTGCATGCCTTGCACACATGCATGTCTTTATTTGTGGGAGGAGAGGAGTCTGGAGTAATAATAACACACAGAAACCGATTTTCCCTCATACTGATTGATCATAATTCTTATTGCAAATAAATAAAACTAGTTCTCAATATAAATTTCTGAAATTTAACAATACAAAAGTCTGCACTCCAAACCACGTGCTTTTACTGACACAGGATTGTCCTTGGACCTCTGAATTAAAAATTCATCATTGATGATTAGTATAGACTTAATTTTGGCCTTTGATTTGATTAATTGCACAGCCTAACTTCCCTTTTAGAACTGTGCATTGTTGCTCTTACAGCATTAGTATTAAGTATCTGTATTGCTTGGTATACCTATTTTGATCAATTATTAAATGTAAAAAACACATACCTTTTGATTTACTGAGATTGATCGTAACAGAACTATAAGGGAACATGAGCCGTTCACAGCTCTTGTGATCAGGACAGTTTTATCTGCTCTTCTGGCAGCAGTTCAGTGGCACACCTCATGTTACAAAACACCTGGACTGGTGCCCTCTCCACACCACAATGAACTATTTCAAGAAGAATAAACAATGAATGAATGAAAGGCCAATGTAGGGAAGTGATTGGGGACAATGGCGAGCTTGTGGTTGCAGTTTCTCAGTGCTGTGTGAGCAACTCTGGCTCATGTTTCTAGGCCAGTCTAACCTTGACGCACAGCCCCAAGGTGCACCAAGAAAAAATATCCCAAATCTATTATTATAACTAGGAAACATGGACAAACAGCAATGTGGAGGAAATTGTGGTGTCAGTTGTTTACTAGACATGTGACTCTCAACTTGCACATTGAAATGAGTTGGTGCTCTTATTTCTACACAAGCAGTCGTGGTATTTGTTGCTAATACACTGTGAGAAAGAATATAGAGTTGTACATTTCCTACTGCAAAATGTCAGATTCTTCTCATTTTTAAGCTTATAAATGTCTCATCTTCTACCACTTACTCTTTGAGGCAGTTGTTCTCACCCCAGACACTTTGTTGCCATGATCCCATTCCTCAACAATTTATAAAATAATGTTATCAGTGTTTGTGTGTTGTTTTAAAAAGGGAACTGGTGAAGCATATTAAAACTTTGCCTCCTACAAAACATTGGATATTTGATTATAGGTCATCTTTATTCATAGTTATTCTTAATGAGTTGAAGTATAGGCAACCAAACACCATGGGAATCCCCAAAATAAGTGAATTTAACCAGTTGGTACAGGTCCAGACAGCTCCCAATCACCAGGATTAGAAGTGTCTTTGTTTAGTCCAGCAGCAGACAGGTCAAACTCTTGTATCCACACACCTCACCTAATCAGAGCCTCTTGTACCCCCAAAGCCAGGAGAGCCAATGGATGGACCATAGTGTGGCAGATTCAAGACATGAGTACCGGCCTCCCCAATTATCTGCACACAATAATGTCTGGATATAGCCTGGATTAGCAGTGTATTTTGACTGCTGAGGAGGTGGCTGGTTCTGATAGATGTTGGATTAGATGCCAGGAATGAGATGGAGGGAAGGGATTAGTGCTCATGAGCTGCAACTGTGTGTGCGCGTGCATGTGTGCATGTGTGTGCATGTGTGCATGTGTGGAGGAGTTCCTTACTAATTCTGTGGGTGTTATGTGCCATATGTGACTGGTATATAGAGCAACAAGTATATGCCACAAAGACTCTGGGGGTTAATTAATATAAATAGGTGTTTAAAATTGTATTAACTGTCATTATAACTATTATTATTATTATTATTATTATTATTATTGGTGATACAGGATTCAGGGGTAGTGACCCAGAGAGTTGACTGTTCAGTTCATATTTGAACCCAGTATCTACTATGGGGCACGCTTCACCTACATTGTTTAATGCCTACCCCAGTCATGCTATGTGGCTGGTTATTTATTTTAGGAAAACCTTGTGTCCTGTGTGAATACTTAGGTATTGTTATGTTTCTGTTTACTATTTGTCTCAATTTTGAAGTGAATATAAACATTGACCACTAATCTTGGTGGTACTATTCCAGACTAAAACATTTAATTAAATCCCATGTGAATATAGGCTTCACTTCATTAATACCCCAAAAGTGGTCTGATAATTTTGTGCAGGTGAGTGTACAAAAAGTTTTATAAAATTCATCATCTCAGTAGACATGATTTAAATTGCGTTGTTAGGGTAGTTGGTTGAATGTGTGTGTTACCCGTGTACCTAGCCTGTAATCAGTGAAGAGAGACAGAGGGAGCTGCTGACAGAACTGTCATTATTGTAATTCTTACAAACATATACAGCTTTGTGGTGAGTGCAGGCGGTTGTATGTGTGCAGTATGTGTGGGTGAGTATCCATCACATTATGGGGACCTAAATTTGTATATAGTCACTTTATGGGGACCTTTGCTTTTGTGCGGACCCAAAAAACAGATCCCCCGTAAGTAAATACTTCAATATTAGCTCAACATTACGGTTTTAAGTTAAGGTATGGGTTCATTTGTGTTAAAGTTAGACAACTAGTAATTATCGTTAAGCTCCAGCCTCCAGGGAGTGAATGCAAGTCAATTTAATGTTCCCACAAAGCATGGAAACATAACGTGTGTGTGTGTGTGGTCTGCCGAGTCAAATAGGTTTTGAGCCTCTTGTACACTGCCACTCAACGCTCAAGAGCTCTGCCTCTCGTCTGTGGCTAACTACACCGCAGCACAACAGGAGTGGCTCTCTCAGGGAAGCCAAACTGTTGAGATTGCAGTCGGGAGTCACTCAAAATACAATTAATGTGGTTTTAATTAATTGACCGAACATACAGAATTGGTCGTAATGCTGTCTATTTCAATATTAAGGGAAAAACTCAATACTATATATACTTGTCATATTTAGCAAGCTGTTTTCTTCAAGATGGTATATTTTGGTAGAACTGGCAAGGTTTGGTTGGACTTTTTTATGGAAGCTGTTATTACTTGGCCTGGAATGTTTCACTTTGTCACTGAACATATCTTAGCTCCAACAACAGAATATGATAGTGTGACATCCCTAAGGTACCCCATTACCCAAAAGTGTATTTACATAACAAGTATTTCGGCATGCACATAATTTGGTTTGTTTGGCACACCTATAATTAAATGATTTAGGTAATTGCCAATGACAACTAGCTACCCTTAGTTTCTATTTGTTTTCTGGCGGCACTTGACTTTGTGGTTAGCTGTGTTTGTGTGTTTGTGTGTGTGTGTGTGTGAGCCAGCCTCTCCCTTGTGTCTTGTATGTGTGGTAAGTGGCAGCAGAGCACCCTGTGGACACTCTGCTATTTAGTGACTGAATCCTGGCTTTGTTTGGTCTGCGCTGCCTTCTCCGCCCTTGAGAGCTGATGAAAGAGTACACAGGCCAGTTGGGTGAGTCCCCTGTGTGTTTTCTTGTGTGTGTTTGCAGACCGAAGATGCAGTTAGTTTTTTTTTTTTTTTTTTTTTTTTTCCAGTGGAGCGGAGGGAAGAGGGAAGGGCTGATCAATAGTTAATGAGATGTAAAGTGAACAGTGGCGTACCTGGAGGTTGGGGGCTAAACGGTCCTGACACTGTAAAGGCTCCAATGCTGGCACTCTCTCTACGAGGCTCCATCTGTCTCTGAATGAGGCTGCTGAAGGGTTCTCATGTCCTGTATGCATCTGTGAGCAGCTCTTGTCCTCTAATGCATGGTCACTCTGCAGAGACTAAAGTATTTTGAGTATGAAATGCATTTTGTCTGGTCTATTGTAAAAGAAAATAATGAATAATACATAATATGTCAAATTATAACTGGCCTGCTATTGGACTTGAAACCCTTTTTATTTTGCATACTCCTAATTTTTCAATATGAAGATCTGATTTCAAAACGGGCTTGTGTAACTGTTCAGGATAGAGATGTGCAAATAATCAATTTGAATATGATTGAATCAAGAAGCGTTGGTTTAAATTAAATGGTTGTTACATTTGCTTGGGGCTTTTTAATGGACAAGTTAACAGCCGGTCCTGTGGCATTAAAAGCATCTTGTTTGGAGCAGAGTTCAGACTTTGGAGGAATAAATTATTTTTAAAAATGTGTGTTTATGTTCTTGAAATTGGGATGGAACACCATATTTATTCAGTTCAAGAAAAAAAAAAGTGGTGCATTTTTTTGGCTTCATTGCCCTGTATTGGTTCAGGATGTACACTATATTTGTTACTTTCCCATATAGCCTCTAGCTAACAGAATTCTTAACATGTGAGTTATAAAGTATAAATAAACACATTGTGCTTTAGATGATATTAAAACAAATGTGACTTTAATGAAACCCAACATTTTTAGTGAGTTCCTTAAAATTCAACACACTTTTATCCTCCTCACTGCAATCTTACAGCTATTTTCCTTTGACTGTACCAACTCGGCAACAGCACTAATGAAGTAAATTGAACTGTGAAAGTCATTGCTATTTTCTTACTTCTCAAAGCTTGCCCAGGTACAACACTGCACATATGCAAAGTGTGGAGTCTTAATTAGCTGCTTCACTGTCTGTAGACTCATGTAAGTGTGTGCATTCATGTGCATCTCATTAGCATGCCAAAGTGCAGCCTGGTTCTGTGTATATGTATGTCCCCACACCTAAGCATTGCTGTGTGCTAGTGCTGCACTGACAGAGCTGTCTCAGGGCTGGCAGACTGCAGATTTGTAGCGCATTGGGCTGATCATCTTATCTCCTGTCAGCGCCAGTGAAAGATTGGAGGAAGCGAGCCCATGGTTGCGCGCACACACACTCTCTGCATCTCATCTTCCCTCTCTCTCCTTTTTGCCACTCACTCTTGTTTTCTCCTCTGAGTCGCTCCCCCTCCCCTCCATTTCTCTCAGTAAATGGTGCCGAGCCAAAGACTAATTATTACAGGCAATCATTTCGACATGAAATACCCACTTCCTGCTCGCCGCTCTCTTCCCCACTCCCTCCCTCGTCTCCCCCTCCAACTCTTTTATGCTCCTACAGTCACATAATGGCACACACACACAGTAATTTCATTCCTTGAAGTCCATTTTGCAGGGAGCGGTTATTGCTTTCTGAGTGCGACCTTGGGGTCTTTGCTGTAAGCACAAGAAGTGTCCATCTTCGAAGCAACTATGTAGTGATGTTGTGCAACGTGTATAGCGTGGCAAATGGTCCACAAAAACGGTCATTCTTATATCAGTTTCACCTATTTAATAAACCACAAGTATGTTGAGACTTTTCCATTGCAGTAATTATGTAATAATTTGTCAGTTTTTACACTTCATAGCCCTCTTGTCCTAGCAAGACATAGTGTTCTGGCTACCAAGAAAAAGGAGCCTCTTTGAGACTGCAAACTAAATTTTGTTATTTCAAACAACAGTAGGTGTTCTTTTCTTCTTTTAATGAGTGAGTAAATATGTCTGGTACCTCATACAAAGTTACTGGAGAGCAATTAAAGGATAATGATACTTTGTAGATATGTTGGATATCAATAATTTGGTACAAGAATGGGCAATGAAAAAAGTAAACTTGTCTGAAAAATTCCCTTGTCATTTAAAGAGAATTACCAGGAAAAGAAAATTACCATATATAACAACATTGACTTGTTACTGATGCTTGACATTTAGGAATAAAAATACCTAAATTATCCTTGTTCTTCTTTCCTGGGTCTTTTCTTGCAATTTTCTCTGAATAATTGTGATTGTCATGTTACAGGTTTGGCAGTACATGCACGCAATTCATCAATCAAAACAAAATCAGTCAATTATATGGCTGGTAAAAGTGTCTCGTTTGGAGCCAGAAGCGGTTTACATGCAAAAATCAAACAGCAATCATTTTCATTACTCTGTGCTGTCAATAGTTATTTTTGTGTTCATATTTTTATTATTTTTCCCCGGTTATGTGATGGCTGCTTGACAAACCTTCCGTGGCGATGGTCACATTAGTCCTCACCCCAGCAGTGAGTGACTTGGCCCCAAGAGGCAATTCCACTGTAATAAAATCTATAAGGCAGGGGCCATAACCCACCCCTCTCCCTCTCTTCTCTCTCCTCTTCAACCGACTGGCAATGATAAATGAGTCAATTATTGGTTTGTGTGTGTGGAGGAGCAGGAGGGGGCTGTTATTACCTGTTGCGGTCGAGGCTAATGTTGCAGTATTAATCTTATTCTAATTTTCCTCCACCAAATGACCACACGCCCCCCCCTCCCCACCACCATTCCTCAATCAATCTACGGCTAGCCACAAACAAGTTCTGGTCAAATATTCCTCCTCACCGGGGGAGGGGGGAGCAGTCGAGATAACAAGCAAGGGACTATGAGCTTTGAGAAACCCTGTATGGAGGTGTGTGTTTGTTAATCCTGCCAATTTAGGATGCTGTGGGAAGTGGGGTGCTTCCATTAGAAGTACAAAAGAGTCCCTCAAAGACTATGTGGTCAATGCCAGTAATCAAAAAGATGTTGGAATAATAATTCAGGATTAGCCATCTTTTTAATCATTGCCTTTTGGGATAAATTAATTCTGCTGTGTAACTTAAACTGTGAAGCTTTTTTTCTCACAAGGTGAAATGGCTGATTAATAGTTAGGGAGGCCACACTAAGGAGTGGAGGACACAGAGGTGGGTTTAAAATTGTCCAGCGTGTGCCCATGCAAGAGCAGAGGCACTTTGGATGTGCCCGCTCACAGTGTTGGCTGCATTTCAGGCTGTGAGCGTGACTTTGTCTATTTCTGCTCTGCTCTGAGGTGATAATGGGCTGTCAGCACCAAGTTCCCCCTCTCCCCCCTCGGCTCTGTGCGAGGAGCAGAGCTATTAGTGCTCATGCTGCACACTGTAATATTATTATGCATTTGTGTTTGCAGTGGCATGCCAATGGTAACTGTTTCTCTTCCTCTTTTGCAGTTTAAAGCTGGAATGTGAGAAATTGGCCACAGAGAAGACTGAGATCCAGAGACACTATGTTATGGTGAGATACACACAGTCACAGCATTCACTCTCAACAAGTGTGTTGCCAAGCCTCTGAATCCCTTTCATCTGCTTACAGCTGCCAAACAACACCCACCAAAACCCAGGCAGCAGACCACACACACGGGCACACAGATATTAGAGGGAGCAGAATAAACAGCGTTTACATGGGCGTGCAGCCTTCTGTCTGTTTGTTTGCCTTTCTTTTCATGTTTGAGAGAGCACATCCTGCTGGGCTGACGTATTCAGCCCAAACTGTGAATTAAATATCATACGCTGCAAACTAGTTTGGATTAAATTAGTTTGTAGAAATCAAGGGCTTTTCATGGCTGTTGACTGAATGTGCTGTTCTAGACCTCTATATGCAGACCAATTTCTGTTCAGTGCAGTGTATCTGGCCGTCTCTGTTCCTGGAGATAGTTGCCGGACTAGACTTTGCCCACTCATTGACACACTTTAGAATGAACCATATTTTGTACAGGCTTTCTTAGAAGCATTGAAGTGTCTAAGATAAACCTGTTTGAACATCTGTTTTATGATAGAAATGCGCTGCACTTTGAATCTCTAAATTGCGATTAAACTGCTTGGTTGTAAACAGCCAATGACTGTAAATCTGACAGGTGTAAGAAAATGGTTTGTTTTGGGCTCTTGTTGATGTAACTGTATTGAGGAGCTCCTGTGGCCCAGTAGAGTGTGTGTCTGTGCAGAGCAGAGCCAGCACAGAGTGGTGTGGTGATGCTGGCACAGAGTTGGACTTGTGGGGGATTGAAGTTTTAGAGCTGGAGGGAAGGGGCAAGCTGGCATCGGCGCAGGCCAGGTCTCCTTTGCTGGCGGCTGATTTGGGGGAGTTTGGATGTTGCTAGGCAACAGGCAAAACTTGGCACGCCAACTGCAAAGCAAAGCTGCCAGCTGCCAGCAAAGGCGTCTTTTATGGAGGCACACAGAAAGAGGAGTGAGCACACACAAAGCACATAGATACACACACCTACACACTTCCACTGTGCTATCTGCCATCCCCTCTCCATCCTGCCAGCCAGCTCCACTGCCCAACTGCCAATCTCCTCTCCACAAGCAGCCACGCTGAAAAGCAAATGTCAGCCTGTCACTTTTCCTGCAATCTGACTTTAAAATGCTCCCCTTTGGTCCATCTGAGAGGCTAGCCTCACCTGTCTCTGAGGCTCTTCCTCCTCTGTGTTCTGCTGCTCTCTGCACTCTCACATAAAAGCCTGGGTCAAATGACTTACATTAGAAAGCATAAAAGCCTGGGTCAAATGATGCTTTACATTGGAGCTGGTTTTAGCGGAGTGTGTCACCTTCTCTACCTCATTCTGGACACATGCCTCTGGCTCATCATAGAGGCAAATGCTGCTGCTTTGAGAGCATTTAGAAAAGAACAGCTGGAGAGTTTAATAGAACAGTGAGATTATAAGTGAGGATTGTGAGATTTTAAATAATCGTTTATACATTTTCATTATGCATAGTTTAACTCTTCTCTTTCTCTTTTGCAGTATTATGAGATGTCATATGGCCTTAACATCGAAATGCACAAACAGGTGAGTATTTTACTATTATTGTTTTACACTCTTACCTACTTCTTTATTACTACTTGTATGTATGAAACATGACTGACCGCTCATACAGAGCACCTTTCCAAACCCCAGATATAAGTTGAATTCTATGTTAAATCATATAAACGCTCAGTTTACACCTTACACTCATTCTCCTGTGTCTCTTGGTTCCTCCTCCTATCTGCTCCCCCTCAAATGGTCTGTGCTCATTGACTGTCATTTTCTGAAGCCAATCTGCCCTTGTCCTCACCCACTGCCCTTTACTTTTACGTTCTCTCTCTCTGTCTCTCTCTTCTCTCCCTTGGTCTCTCTCACCCCATCTTCTTGCTCTCTTGCCCTTTCTCCTAACTCCTCTCTTGCTTTCTCTCTTGCTGCCTCTCTTGAAGATGTCATTTAGTAGTTGGAGTTCTCTAACAAGAAATCATTGTGTGTCCCTGGGGTGGAGGTTGCAGAGGGATTCCAGGCTGGAGGAAAGTGAGGGGGGGGTCATGATGCTTAGCTGCAAATGGAAAGCGGGTGAAAGAGGAGGAGAGGTCCAGGTGAGAGGGGAGGAGAGAGCAAGAGAGAGAGAAGACTATAGAAGAGGAAGAGTGAGAAAAAGGCATCAATAAATCACTTTAGAGCAGAGCTGTGAGAGTGTCTATGTGAGCGTGCACACACACAGCAGAGTCGAGCTGTCAGCAAGACAAACAGCCCGCGGCTGTAATGATGTTGTCATGATCTCTGCGTGCATATTATTACCGGCTCAGGAGTGCCTCCATGGATCCTACATGTTTGTGTATTTTCTCATGGCAGAACGTGTTACAATGGCTGAGCAAATATGGAGAGATGGAGGGATGGAAAGACTGATATATTTTTCTGTTTGATGGAAAAGGATCTGGAAGAATAGAAAGAGCCTTAATAAAATGGCATAGAAGGTTTGGCTGGGTATTGGAGCAGTCTGAGGCAGACAGACACTCACAGCAGGATCCCAACCCCACCATACGCACAGCCCTACCATACACACAGCACCCTGACACACACAGTACTGTCCTATCACACGCACTAACCTAGACTCACCCTTCTGACACACACACACACATTTTCCAGGCTGAGGATGGCGACTCTTGTTTTCTCTTTCACATACACACGCTCTGTGTGGGCTGGCTGTGGCCACAGCAGATGCTGCCCATGAATATTTTAGCCCCGCTCCCTGGCAGAGTTTCCATTTGCATGGACCAGATGTAAGCAGCTGAAATATTTACCGTACTGGCCCTGGGAGAAGCAGGCCACAGCCAGTTGTGTGTGTTACCTGTGCTGCTCCAGTCTGAGCAGAATCTGTGTTTGTGTTTATTCATCACCAGTGACAGCACCGCTCTTTGTTTCAGACGGAGATCGCCAAACGGCTCAACGTGATCTGTGCACAGCTCATCCCATTCCTGTCGCAGGAGGTACGAAACTCACCATGGTCACAGACTCACACACACCACGGGCACAGACCTGTCCAACACACACCTCATGTACAGGACATGCATCAAAGACACAAAGCCACATACCTGCAAATGACAGTGATTTCTTTCCCCCTTTATCACCAAAATATGCTTACACCATTCCACCATTCAATCTTTTAGTGATTCCACTCAATATATAAATACTCCATACAATATAAAAATATTTATATGATGACCATGAAAATGTTGATGAGCCTAAATATTGAAAAATTCTGACTTTATTTTTCCCCACAGCATCAACAGCAGGTGGTCCAGGCTATGGAGCGCGCCAAACAGGTGACCATGGGGGAGTTAAATGCTTCGATAGGGGTACGTGGGCTCCCCCCTCTGCCTCATAGCGTGTGTACCTTACCTCCCATATTTTTTTTCTCCCGTTCCTCCTTTTTTCTTTAGACAGTATTCATCCTGTTAAAATATTTTTTTGCATTTAAAAAGTAAATATTTTGGGGAGCCAAACCAGATTTTAGAGAGTTGGTTTGACTCTAGTGAGCCTTTTGTCCTGCACCTTTTAGGATTTCCTACTTCTTTTCAACACCTTGATACTTTGCTTCAGTCATTTAAAAAGTCACCCAGAACTGTCTCTCTGTCTCTCTCTGTCTCTCTCTGTCTCTCTCTCTCTCTCTCTCTGTCTCTCTGTCTCTCTGTCTCTCTGTCTGTTTGTTGTTTGTTGTTTGTGTGCACAGCAGCAGCTCCAGGCGCAGCACCTCTCCCAACATGCAGGGGGTTTGCCTGTGGGCCCACACCCCTCAGGCCTGCCCCACCCCGGCCTGGCTCTGGGCGGGGGCTCTGGCCTGCTGGCTCTGTCTGGAGCCCTGGGGGCACAGCTTGCTGCCAAAGATGAGCGAGCACACCTGGAGGCAGCTGCAGCCGCTGCTGCTGCAGCAGAGCACCACAGAGGTATGACACAAATCATAATAAAACATTTTTTCTAAAAATATTTATTATAGAAGCATAAACTTTGAACGAAGTGGATAAGTGATCAGTCCAAAAGTCTTTCTGATGTGGGGAAAGTAAATTGACAATTTTGACCTGGTGTTTTCTTTGATTGGCTTTGCACTAGGTTTTTTGGCAGAGCAATGTAGTGTTTCTGATAATAACACTCCTCTAGGAGTTTGTTCCACTGACTCATCAGTGTTCGAGTGAGGTAGACTGATGGCAGCTAATCATGTCTCTGTGTGTGTCTCTCTGTGTGTCTCTGTGTGTGTGTGTGTGTGTCTCTGTGTCTCTGTATGTGTGTCTGCGCCTTGGTACCCGTTTGCTTGGAAACTGCCTCCTGAAATGAGAAGACCGTGAAGCAGGGCCAGTAAGTACAGTTTTAATTTTGTTGTCATAATAATGTAAATACATAACATTCGTTAAAGCCATTATATTCGTAAAAACAGCAGTTTAGAATGTATCCCAGGATCCCCCCTCATGAATTGCCCTTCTAGTTCTCTCTCCTCAGTGAGTCGGGCAATCGATTGTGCCTCATATTTCATCACATTCATCACCAGTGCTATGACATGATTTATGCAGTCGCTCTCACCTCATTATCACCCCCCTCCCTCCTCTGCCCTCATCCCTCCTTCTTTACTCCTTTACCTCTCTCCTTTCCCCCTTCTCACAGCACCCACCATTTACTACTTGCCTGACTTGGCCTTTTTCTTTGCACAGAGCTCTCTGTCCAATGGGGATAAGGGTCGGCCTTCGGACTACCTCAGCAATGGCAAGAAGAGGAAAGCTGACGAGAAGGAGTTCATGACGGACTATGTGAGTAACACATATTTGATGTTTCACTCAAAACAAAGTAAGGATCTTCTGAAGATTTGTGTCCTCTTGGTAACTCTAATGGTATACTTAGAATTAACTACTGAAAATTTGATCCAAATTGTATGTATTGTTATGTAATAGTATTCGGGAGGAGATTGTTTTGGTAGGGCCAACTTTGATCAAATAAAATAAAAACTATCCACAAACAAGATCCATGAGAATGTATATTTTTGCATACATCAGAGTCAGATGGGTAATGTCTGTTCTGTTTTCTTTTGTCTTTTCAGGGCAGCGATGCAGATAAAAGTGATGATAATTTGGTTGTGGATGAGGTGAGCAGGACTCACCTGATGGCTTTCACCTGCATAAATCATAAACACACCCAGCAGGACCGTCTGAGTAATAAGAGCCTTATATCCAGCATGCACAATAGGGCTAAAGTCCTTGGTGCACTTTGGGTCAGATACATAGTCTTTTGAGAGTTTTTGCCACACCCCCATTTTAGTCGACTAATTGATCAGCAAGACATATCTTTAATCAACCAAGATATTTTCAACTACAGCCCTAGTGACCTACACTTGTGAAAATACAAAACAATATGACTGCATGCATGATGGGAGAAGAACTGCTGAAATCATTTTAACTTGTAAATACTTTTCGAAGTTATTTTGTGTTGACATTTTGGCTGCCATAGGAGAATATAGTAAAAGTGTCAGTTGTGCCATGGATTATGGCAATTGTGCCGTTGTGATGAAAGGTTTAAATTTCCTTGTTGGGTGGGTCTTTATGGGAAAACTTTGCTGCCAGAAACTTCTAGCTTTTATGTGTTCTGCTGCAAGCTAGGAATCAATAGGAAGAGCTTGGATGGTTGGCAGCAGCAGTTAAAAGTAATGATGGCATGCTTGCACTATAGTGCCCCCTACAGAAAATCCAAACCTATTCACATGAGTATAATTAGTAGAATTTGTGCATGGGTTATGAGACATATTTTTGAATCTTACAACTATATTATATTGAAAATGTTTTTGTAATTTCAGGACCCCTCATCTCCTCGCAGTGTGCAGTCATATTCATCCAGGGAGAATGGATTGGACAAAATGCCACCGTCTCGTAAAGAAGGCCCTCCGCAAGCCAGCCCCACATCTCTCGCTTCTTCCAGCAGTGCCACCTCCCCATCACGCGGCAAAGAACCCCCACAGGTAAACAAATATTTTATTTAACATGCAGCTTTCAATACTTTAACATATTTCATCCTTTGGCCCCATTCAACTGGGGTTTATTTAACATTCCACACACATAAAATCTTCCTCTGGTGTCTTGATGCCCCATTGGGACCCTGTCATTGTCATTCCTGTTTTGTTCCTGTGCTTTTAGTTGCCATTCTTCTTCTCCTGTGGCTTGCTCCATCCCTCACTGCTGATTGCCTTGGCCACATCCATCTACTCCTAAAGACAGACTGTTTATTTTCTGTTCACACTTGATTTACCTCCCTTTTGTGCTAATGTGTCTTTGCTTTGGCAGAGGGAGAAGTCTAGCACCCCAGGTATGAAGCCAGGAACACCCATGTCTCAAGAGTCGAACACCCCCGGGCCAAGTGGACCACCTCAGTTCAGGCCGGTCCCGGGTAAACCTGGAGTTGACCCCCTTGGTAAGTTTGAAATGATAGCCAAACTTTGTGACTCGAATAGAAAAAGCAGTAATGGTATTTTCATATGCTATTATGTCCACCATGTCTGAAACGTTGTACCCCAGGCTGAGGTTTTCACAGCCCACAGGGGATCAATTATAACTCTGAATGTGTGTTTGCTGGGACGACAGTTATTCAGTGGCTTTGTAACATGAAGAGATTGTATCAGCACTGGGCCACAGTAGTTGTTATGGGTGTCAGCCAGCTCCCAATGCCGACCACCATCTGGACATAATAAGCAGCTGTGGGCAAAAATATTCAGCGCGCCTCACGTTTTAAATGGAAAGATTAGGAGAGGTGATGGACTGTGACTGTGAGCTGTTTCATAATGAGCCTCCATTTATTCCACTGTATACTCCTCACATCACCTGTTAGAACTGTGTGGCGTATACAGCCGGGCATACACATAAGACAGTGCAAATAGAGATTCACAAGAGTGCACATTGCTCTCACTGCAGGACCGCACTTTGACCAGCAGGGGTCAGTGTTGGTCCAGGTTGCACTGGGAGTGTGCCGTGTTTTCTGTTTGCTTCAGCTTTTTGAGTTAGTCAGTCACAATAACATGTCATTCTGGAAGCATTTATATTTGGAGACGGTTTGGTATGTGCAAGTTATACCATATAGGTTATTTTTCTGGGGAAAAGCAGACTTGCAGAGTCCACTCTTCACTTTTCTGCTTTAATTTGTTCATTTAAATGATTCACATTGTGCTTTCTCTTTGTCACCTTGCTGCAGCTCTTGGCCTGAGGAACCCTCTGGCGGTTCAGGGAGCGTACCCCCCTGGGGCATTTGGCCTGCCTCCTCCAGGGGTGAATGGAGATCTGCCCGGGGCGGCGGGCTACGGCGCAGGGCTTCACCTGGTCTCCCCCCAGATGAACGGAGCAGCAGCAGCAGCAGCTGCTGCCGCAGGCTATGGCCGCTCCCCTGTGGTATGTTAGAGGACTTTGTCTTCTCAGTGTTACTGTCATGTGCAATAGCTCAGCATATACAAGCATGCAGCTCCAGTGAGTGTGTCTGTGGAAGCGCCAGTAACATCATTTACTCTGAATCAGTGACCTTGGCTCTGTGCTTTTTTTCTACAGTATTGTACAGTTTTCTGCACTAATACAGTTTCAATTAGCCTTTTTAGTAAAAACTTTACTCCTGATCCTTCATAACTTTTTTCTCACATAGGTCTAATACAAGATATTCTTGGTTGATGGTCTGATTGCTTATTTCAATGTTTTGCAGGTGGGCTATGAGTCCCCACACCCACACATGAGAGTCCCTGGGCTTCCTGCCAGCCTGCAGTCTGCCTCTGGAAAACCGTATGTTATCTCCTCTGTTGGTTATCTTATTAATGAGCACAGCTGTAAATAAATTCAGACTACAACACTCGGGAGAATGATGGTTATAATGGTTGAAAATCTCTTTTGTTTCTTTTAATGCTATAAAATGCATGCGCGGTAAAGTATAAAATGTTTAAAAAATAAAAAAAATTACATATTCTTTGTACCTTTCCAGAGCATACTCGTTCCATGTGAGTGCGGATGGGCAGATGCAGCCTGTGCCCTTCCCCCCTGACGCCCTGCTGGGTCCGGGGATCCCTCGACATGCGCGGCAGATCCACACCCTGAGTCACGGAGAGGTGGTGTGTGCGGTCACCATCAGCACCTCCACCCGCCATGTCTACACTGGAGGCAAGGGCTGCGTCAAGGTGTGGGACATCAGCCAACCGGGCAGCAAGAGCCCCATGGCACAGCTCGACTGCTTGGTGAGTTAGATTGACATTTGTGGCTGAAATGGGAAGGCTGGGTCCTGATGTCCTGTAATAAATGCTTTATGCCCAGAAGAAGGTGCAGTTATTCGCATACTTAATATGACAAATAACCTTAATGTTGTTGTCCTCCTGCCAAAGCTTGTAACTTCTTTATTTATGACATTGGGTCTGCTGAAACATTTCCCTCCTTGTCACCATTACAAGCCTCCACAGTGAACTGTATATCATCATCAATAGGAAAATGTCCCTTTTTTATCTTTTTATTTTATCCATTCAGAATCGGGATAACTACATCAGATCCTGCAAACTTCTTTCTGACGGGCGAACTTTAATAGTTGGTGGTGAGGCCAGTACACTGTCCATCTGGGATCTGGCCACACCCACTCCTCGCATCAAGGCGGAGCTTACGTCATCTGCTCCTGCCTGCTACGCTCTGGCCATCTCCCCTGACAACAAAGTGTGCTTCTCCTGCTGCAGTGACGGCAACATCGTGGTCTGGGACCTGCACAACCAGACTCTCGTCAGGTGAGACAGGAGAGGACAAACTCAAACTATTTATAGAAAAGATACTGGTTCTGGCTCTACTAAAAAGGGAGGTAGAATGGTGGCAGGTTAGAGATGCATTTAATAAGCAGCAAAAAGACAAAGGGAAAAGTCAGGGGAGGATTTTAGATAAGAAAGGAGGGAATAACAAAGTCAAGCATGTGGAGATATTTGTGTGTCACCAAAAGTATTTCTATGTCTCTTCCCACAGACAGTTCCAGGGCCACACAGATGGAGCGAGCTGCATTGATATCTCTAATGACGGCACCAAACTGTGGACGGGCGGACTGGACAACACTGTCCGCTGCTGGGACCTCCGAGAGGGACGCCAGCTCCAGCAGCACGACTTCACCTCACAGGTGTGCACTCACCAACCAGCAGCAAAACTAATGCATTTTTTACACTTAAATTGTCTAGAAATAGTGCTTTACATAGTTCACCTTGTACCGACCCGTCCGCTTCTTTATATCTTTTTTTCATTCTTTCCCTCTCTTTTAATCTTGATATTTCCTCTAGCCCTGTTAAGCGCACCTCCCTCTGTCATCACCACTATCCCCTCTGCTCCTTCCTCCACTATTGCGTTTTTGTTTTCACTTCTATCTCTTCACTTGATCATTGACTCTCCCTTCTTCTTTTCCTGTTGTGGTTGTCTTTGTTGTTATTCTTATCTCACGCCCCCTTTTGGCCTGCTTTGCTTGTGCAGATCTTCTCCCTGGGCTACTGTCCCACGGGTGAGTGGCTGGCTGTGGGAATGGAGAGCAGTAATGTGGAAGTCCTTCATGTCTCCAAACCTGACAAGTACCAGCTGCACCTCCACGAGAGCTGTGTCCTCTCTCTAAAGTTCGCCTACTGTGGTACGTACACACATCCTGTTCTGTTGTATCACGTTCCCAGGGGTATTTAATCACAAAGAGCAGAACAAATGTCTCTCCTCTCATTATTCAGACACACTTTTCTCTCTTGTTGTGTTTCCTCTCTGTCTTTGTATCACAGCTCCTGCAGCTTTATCGCTTAATAGCTGTGTGTTTTGTCCTGTAGGTAAATGGTTTGTGAGCACGGGCAAAGATAACCTCTTGAATGCATGGCGGACCCCATACGGCTCCAGTATATTCCAGGTAGGAAGCAGATAAGTTGTATATTGTGTGCTCTTTTTGTTGTATTGTGTATCCATTTTGTTTGTTTGTTGAAATAATAATGAATCTTCTTTTGTGTGCTCATATCTTTCTGCTTGTGCTCAGTCAAAGGAGTCTTCATCGGTCCTCAGTTGTGACATTTCTCCTGATGACCAGTTTATTGTCACTGGCTCGGGAGACAAGAAGGCAACAGTGTATGAAGTCATCTACTGAACAGCTACTAATATATCAGGGGCGGGACCTAAGCCTATCTGCACCAATGACTGTAAAGGGCAAAATATGGCATCAAAGCAAGAGACACTGAACTTTTGTTTTGTGAAAGACAGACAGGAACATCAAGTGACATCCCTCTGAAAAGAAAAACATTGCTCTACATGGCTCACTGTAGCTGTGGGACTGTGGGATTCCTCCAAAGAACTTAAATTTTTGTTCCTTTTTTTGTTTTGTTTTTGTTTGGTTTTTTTACAAAATAAAACCTCTGTAGTGATGATGAAATTAGCAAAAGAAATATTTTTTTAAACTTTTGTTTTTCTTCAAATGATCGGACCACTTTGAATGAAGAGATAAACATAAGATGACAGAGACTGAATATGTTGGAGCATTGCTAAACTCCTGCTGGATAACCACTATTATGTTCTGTGCTGTAGAGCTCCCAGTGCGGACATGTTGCTTTGGTCCAAATGATGCAAAATGACTGTACTCTGCTGTCAGTGTTACTTTAAAAGTGACTTATGAGATGTTTATCGACAGAAAATCCACATTGAAGAGGACAAATCAGACTTTTTGGGGTTTGGGGATGTGGCCTCCAATCATCTTCACCTTCAATATTAAATGTGTTTTATTGTCTTTGTTATGGCACATAAACAGGGATTTACATGATTAAACCATGGACTTTGACTTTGCTTTATGGACATGTAAATAAAGTTCTTTAAAAGTAAAACGTTTCTTATTTTTTGCATGGATTTGGAAGATGTTGAAGAACCCATTTGTAACCCATTTTATCATTATTTTAAAACCAAACCATTTTGCATTATAATCACTGGATGACAACTGTTTAAAAAATGATAATGGGTTATGTTATTATCTGGAATGTAATCTTTCCTAATTTAAAGCAAGAAAATGCTAATTGTATTTGTCAGGGTGTAAAATTATTTGTGTTACTGGGACTTACCAACTGCAAATAGTTTAGGAATATTATTGAAACTTGATTTTCTGTGCCCAAGGTTTTCTGATCCAAATAAAAGTGAGGAGAATACCAGAAGATATGCAGTCATTATATTAAATCTGAGCTCTGAGACTTTCAGTGTGGACCTAAAATGGATGTTTTTTTTTATTTTGGTGAAGTGCAATATCCATCTCTTCCGATAGTCAAAGGTGTGCTTCAATTCCACCGCCTAAATGTTTCCAGGTTTGACTTTGTAGCTGAAAATGTAAGCGAGCATTTGTTGAATATTGGTTTAAAGTCTCACAGCCAGAGAAGTGTGTTCACACTGAGGTGCCTGAGAGGATTTTAAAATATTTAGATGGAAAATAAAGGATGTGAATAGTGAGTACACATTGGCGGTGCTCTCCCTTGATAGAAACATTTCTGTATTTTTGTTGAAAACATATACTCTGCATTGTCAGCCTGGTGCATGTGGTGGCTTTTAGGAGAAATAATCTTCAAACTTGGAGCACGAATTACTTGTTTTCTTGTTTTACTGTGACCAAGGATTTCAGAAAATCCTATGCTGAGGAAGACTGTGCTGTGCAAGCTCCAAGTGAGGGCACAAAGGTGATCTGCAGCTGCACAATAGACAATGAAAATCATTACAGCAATAATACCCAGGAGGGAAGCCCACAGTAGTTATGGCTACTGCCCTGACTGTTTAAAGACACGCATATTTCAATACAAAAAGTCAACCATAAAAAATACTTTTGTCTCTGGTCTGGTAAACATAATATTTGATTCTTTTTTTTTTTTTTTAACAAATTCCCTTTCAGAACAAGCACATAAAAATGTATATTCAAAATACATGTGAGGTCCAGGAAACATGTTTTCAAATACAAAATCATCCTTTTATGTCTTGCTGTGTTAATGATCAGCTTTCAAAATCCAACTGGTTTTGGAGGAATTCAGTAAACTTGAAAAACACATTTTACAATACCGCACTAGTTGAAATGTAAGCTCTATGTAAGCAACTAAAGTATAGTATGTTGCTTTAGCCAAACGCTTTTTTCAGTGTATCTTAAATTCTTCAAGTAGTTTAGACCTGGCCAGGCTTAACAAAACGCATTTATATCTATTGTATTTATGTGGCAAGGTATGAAGGCCAAGAAACATATTCGGTAAGTTAAAATGATTCACATTTATTTGTGCTCTCAGGATAAAGAAGGAATGTACAAATCACTCAAAAAGCAATTTTCAAACACACCTGGTGAATAAAGTCCTCTGTGCTTTGGACCTTTTCAATGTGTTTGTAATAAAGACTGCACCACACTCTGGCCAAGTGAAAGGAAGTTTGGTTTATTTTTTACACACATTTTTTCATGTACAGCACATGGGGAACGCATCAGGAGGGAAGACACAGTGCAATTAAATCAAAGTTCCTTGGCTTGTAAAAGAAAACTTAAAAAGTCTTAATAGATGTGAAAGCACAGGCAGCGGACAGACGTTACAATGAAAAGTATCAAATACAATGTCCAAAAAACTCACGCTATACCAACAGATGCATAGCCATTATACAGCGTCATTCAGAGTATACAAGCTTGTGTGAGGAGAAGTCTGCTGAACCTATAGGCAGACAGGGAGAGAGGCAGGCAAACCTTTTCAACTGTACACTGGATTCCTCTTCATTATTCTTTTTCACCCATTGTACAAGTCCCTTATAGATATTTGTTAGTGATATGTAAAAATGTTGAGTATCAAATGTTCTGAAATGTAAAAATATTTTGTGTGGATAGCATGTAAAACTTCTGGAAAGAATAACAATCATAACCCCTCCCACGATAATGAACCAACATATGTTTAAGTACAGTTTCCACTGTTTTCATGACATAAACAAAGTATAGACCTATACTTGGTATTTGAGTTTAGTTTCAAAGTAATTTCACTAGTAAACCTGTGAGCTTACATGAAGTTTGATGCACAGTTTATTTTTACACTAAACTCTCATATGAATACTGACCATACTTTGCAGTGAACACATGCAGAGGAGAACAGACGGCTCAACCTGGATGAATTGTGTAGACCTATGCCTGCAGCACTGAAGACTGAACTGAAATACTGTACACATTTAGTTACGAGCCAAAAGGAAGGAACATAGTACTCAATACGGCGGGGAAAAAAATTAAATCATCTTCACATCATCTGTCTGTCACCAAGGATACAAGGGCATTAATCAAACTGAAGGAGGCCTGGCAAAAAGAAAAGAAGAGAGTGTTTTCCCCGCCTGCGTTATAATATGTCCCATAGACTGTAGTCAGCCCAGACCCACCCTAATACGGAGCATGTCATATACATATCTACAACCTGAAACAATGCTTATAAAATTCATAAAATGTTTAAAAAATGATATGAGAAGGCCTTTGTTTAAATAAGATTCATCCACTGCATATCAAAACAAATTCTCAGTTTGTATTCAGTGGTGGAACATGACATGTACTATATTTTTATGTATCTGTATCTTAAGTCAATTTGAAAGTGAATACTTCTTAATTTTACTTCACTACATTTGAGAGCAGGTATCAGTACTTTCTACTCTACTACATTTTTGAGCAGGACTGAAGAGTAAAAGTATTTTTTATTATCATGCAAGGCCAGCTGACAAGGCTGAGGGTTTATTTTTAACATGTTCAAAATTTGAGCAAACAAAAATATAACAACAAATATTCAAATAAAAACAGCTAGAACAAAAAGGTTGATTAAATTATTTCTGTCGAACAAAATTCAGCACAAATCTGTATAAAAATCACTACATTTGAAGTTTTATTAGATCTCAACATCTGCATCAAATACTTTTATTTTTAACTCTTTAAGTACATTTTTAAATGGGTAGTTAAATAAAAAATACTTTTACTTGAGTAGTTTTTTTCATGCGATACTTTTACTTGAGCATTTCTTTGCTCTGGTATCTGTACTTTTAACAAAATTGAGTGCTTCTTCCACCACTGTTTCTATGGCAATGGTGTTATGCCCCTAAATATGACACTGAGCTTTGTACATTAATCTAATAAAAACAGTTGTGCTGTGATTAAAATTAATGTATATTCACTGGCAATCTTTTTTGTCTTGTTTTAGTTCCAGTATATTGTAATCATCTAAGTTGAAACTGAGTCTGTTAACCCACCCAAATAAAGCCAAATAATACTTGTGCAGGTCTAATTGATAGTGAAAGACATGTGTTATTCTTTGTTGTTTGATGGCAGCTAGGTGATTATTATTGTCGACCTTGTTGCTACAGTATATGGATGACAGTACCTTTTAAGTGAGAGGGGGGGGAGCAGCCAAGCGTCAGAACAGTCACGAGGAATTAGAGGCAACAGCTCCTGATGTGCTCTGTTTGTGTCTCTGGGCCCTCCGAGGTTCCCATTGACTGTGAGGCTCATTAGACGCTGCCTTTGTCGAAGCGAAATAAAATAGATATTAAGCAGAGAGACGAGGAGCAGTGCCATGAATGTTTAATTGGGTGTGTGTTTGTGCGTGTTTGTGTGTGTGTGTGTTTCTCTCTGTTCCTCTGGGGCCTATCCAAGTGTGTGCGCTGGAAATGACATTTACTACTTACTATTAGCATACTGATTTGAACAAAAGGTACTGTGCGGGCTGTGGCTGTGCTAAAAACTTGCTGTGTACTATAGACATTAAGGCTGCTTCTTTATAGGAAAACTCCATTGCATGTATATAATAATAATTGGTCGGTTTGAGAAGGTAAATGGAACAAAAATAAAGCAACCTTAAACCCCCTTTCTAAAATCAACATTGCAGAGGTAATTACGGCTTCTTTTTTCCCATTAGTGGTCAAAGAGCTCTAAGTAATGACTTTCTTCCCATTACACAGAGCCAGTGTTTTTTTTAAACATATCCAAGTCTTCTTCTATGGTGCTAAAACAGCAGAGAAGCTCTTCACCTCCATCAATGAGGAAAATATTAGAAAAGCTATTAATTTTGCGCATGCTTTCAAGAATTATTGTTTAAAATGTAACATTCCTTTCCTACCTTAAAATGCTGACATGTACTCTATTTTATTATTATTATTTTATGACTGTAATGGTTAAATGTTATGAAAATAATTATCATACTTTAATGAATTGAAATGCTTTCTGACCCGTAACATTCCAGACAAAGCAAGTGGTGTAACCCTCTACAAAAGAAGTTACACAGCGCACCTTTAACTCCCAGAGTAATAGGCTATTTTTCAGTATTCTGTTCAAGGGTCCCATATGCCCTTCACAACATCTCTTGTCTATCATGCAAGTGTGTGTATGTAGTAAGTGTGTACAGTGTCCCCGCCTCCCTGCGCTCGTCACTGGGGAGAGCGTGCTGTGGCGGCGCCCTCATTACGCACTGCACTGTCTGCCTAATGAATCGATTGTGTGGTATCAGTGCTGCTGGCTGACGCTCCCACAGTGCCTCCTCTAGGGGCCTCCCTCCTCTGAGCTCTTAATCAGGAAACAGCCATAATTACCCTCCTCCTCCTCTTCTCCTTATTCTTACCTCTAATTCCACTTCCTTCCTATGGCTTTCCCCACTCGTTTTTGGTCTTTTCCAGCCCTACTTTTATCACGCTCTTTGTCCTTCTTATCTGGCTGCTAACAAGGTGGGAAAGGGTGGGTGGGATTTGGGCGCTTCTGCAGTAGCTTATATCACAGCAAAAGGGTGATGAAAAGCAGGTTGAAGGTCAGAGAGATTCGGTTCTTTGAGAGCTGAGCCGAGACTTCTGCCGATGCGATGAGAAAAGGAGCGTCCAGAAAATACAAACAGAATTCCACAGTGAGTCTGTTCCTGCCTCTGCTCCTCAGTACACCACCTCGTACACTGTGGCCTTCTTATCCCCCGAGCCTGTCACTATGTACTTGTCGTCAGGGGAGACGTCGCAGCTCAACACAGACGATGACTCCTTGGACTGAGACAGGACACAAAGACGAAGAACACACAATGGTTAGCACAGATATGACTCACCGCCTCAATCATACAGGACATATTTGAATTTGAAAAAACAAGCTGCAATTATTTAAAAAAACATGACAGCGGATGCTGAGTCATTTGTCTTGTGCTCTTTATTTCCCAGAGAGATCGAGGCTCATTAAATGCGACTTTAAGCATCACTGAAGGGCTACAAAACGCAAAGTCTTGGGTTTCTCTGTTCTACACTCTGGTGTTTGAAGCAGGACCGGGGCACCTGGCTTTAAAAGGATCTGAAGCTACCTTTACTTCTATCCTGTCTCTCCTCTTCCCACACTCCCTTGCCTTGTGTCAGCTCCTTCACCCGCTCCCTTAGCCCCTGCGCCTCCTCCCTCCTAGCTCCATTTTTGCCTGTAGCGCGGCAGAGCTGTCAATCACCGAGCTGCCGGTAAGAGACCATTTCACACAGGATTCCTAATATTATACCAAGAAAAAGGATGTCGGGAGGAAGGGCGTTCGCAAGGGAGGTCCATTATGACAGGCCAAAAGGATGAGTTTGGAAAGTGACCAAGAGATAAAAGATATAAAAGAGCTGCCCTGAGATTTAATGCTCCTCAGAGTTGGAGCTAGAAGGCGCAGCAGTCCAAAAAGTCTCCTGGATAAACGACTATAGCTAGTACACAAATTTAATTTTAATTAATCAGTGAATCTATATTTTCTGTGATACTGGTTGTTGATTTTGCATAACTGTATTTCCAATTGCAGGACAGGGTCGAAGGAACTCCAGAACCACAAGGGATCAGAATTTGAGAAACTGAATGAAGAGAGAAGAGCGCTTACTTTCTAAACTAAGCATCCTGGACAAATTATTAAGAACTGCAGACAGGGCCAGTGCCTTTGTGGTAGTCTGCACTCTATACATGTGTCAAGGTTGTAAGGTTGTCAAAAGTTTCAAAAATCTGATAGTAATTGACACTAAAACTAGTATCAAAACTAGATACTCATTTGAACAAGTATCAATACTGAAACAATCACATAAAAGAGAACATTTGACCTTTCCTGAACAGTTTTATGAGGATTTTCAGCTAGTTCAAAACCACACGGTATTTTAAAGAAATGTAAAATTTTATTTTGTGTTGGCAATGTCTATTGTCTAAAAAAGATCATTGTGGTATTGAACGGTATTGTCGGTATCGAGCCTATTCCTATCAAAATCAAGTTTGAAATTTTAACATCATGACAACACTACTAAGTTGCCTTTGTTTTTAGGTAGTTTCATCCAATATCACCATCCTGTGCTATAAATACAACAGAGAGCAGGTGCACTGGAAGTTTGGCGATGTAGAATCATAAATCCTTTTTTTCACATTCTCTTTTCATTAAGTATTCACACATGTGAAAGAAAACGAACTGAATGCCATTGTTATTTGGTCATAAAAGCCGAATATTCAATCTCCCTGCGTTGCTAAGGAAATCTTAAATAAATAATGCAGCATTAGCATTACTGCACATAAAGCCTATTTTAGCCAGGGTGATAAAAGTGAGCTGCAATAAAAGAAGTAGTAAAAGATAATGCATGATATAAAAAGATGATGAAAGGAGGAGAGTGAAAAATAGGACAAGAAAATACAAGGGTGGAGATAGATTAGGGAAAGATATGAGGCACAAAGCGAAGCAATGGACAGTAAACAGAGGGGGATGAAATGTGCATGGGACAAAAGCTCCAAAATATGTAAACGAGTAACAGAGATCGAGAGGGAAAGAGAGAAATGGGGAGAAAGAGCAGAAGAGAGAATGAGAGAGAAAAAAGAGGAGAGAGAGACAGAGAGAGGGGAAGAGACAGAAAGAAGAAGAGAGAGAGACAGAGAGAGAGAGAGGAGGGTGCCCGTATAACATTGTGATGAGTTTGGCACAGGGAGACTCTTGGCATTGAGATAACAAAGCAGGATAGCCAGCATTCTCTTCCCAGTCTGCCGGGAGACGGGATCTGCCAACCCCACTGCCCACACCAACTCCAATACAACCAGCACACACGCGCACACTCAGCACATCTATATGTCTTCTGGGGACATTACATTGACTTACATTCATTTCCTGGAGACCAATCCTAACTTAAACCTTTGATTCTACTTGCCTAACCTTAATGTAAACGCTAACCTGACTTATTTTCATCATTTATATCTGCACTTAAATCATGTTGTTGATCTAAAAATAGGATTCATGTCACGGGGACCTGATTTTTGTAGAGTGGGATTTCGGCTCTCTAATGGGATTCAAATCTTGTGGATCCATTCATTTCAAAGAACCCTTCAAAATATTGCCTCTTTTAATATTTATTTATATGACAGAAGCCATTGTGAGAACTAATTTTAACAACAAATTAATCACATAAATGACCAAGGCTAAGAAATGATTCAAAGTAAGAGTGGAAGTGTGTTTACCCATTAAAAGTATGCATAATCTAAATAAAACATTGCACTACAATAATAATAATTTAAAAACTAACTGTTATTATGATACCATGTTGTAGTACAAAGCCGTCACTCATATTGCCTACTTGGTTTCTGTGCTGATTCTTATGCTGGATCTGGGTTAATCAGTGTAAAAATGCATAAAAATCTGAAAGAAAACAATTCAGTTCCAACTGTTCGCATTAAGGAACCGTTCATAAGAGCCAACTTGCTCACAAATGTCACATCACTAGTCACCAGGGAGGCAGGTTCCTGTGTGCACAGATTTAGTCCCCACAATGTTGCAGATACCCTCAGACACATGCACACTGCTTTGTTTATTACACCTTCATTTTTGTATGCCGGAACAGGAGGTAGCTTTGACAATTATTCATCCTGGTTAAGAAGATGACTTTGCTGTTCCCAAAATACAGACAGAATATATTTGTAAATGTTGTATAAGCATTATTAAATACAAGTTTCTCACCTGGAATATGCTGGCTCCATAAGGTGTCCTCCATGCATTCAACAGATTGTCTTTACCTGTGCTCACGAACCATTTGCCTGGTGAAACAAATTAAGTCCAATCTGTAACTTTTATAAATCAGATCAGATACAAACTAAAATGTTATTTTGATATCTCACTAATTCCTAAGGCTAATCAGTAACTTCTGTCATTGTAAAGAAGTCAGTTCAAGCACTATAAACATAACTCGTTTGAAGACTTCTTAATGAAAGTCAATGCTGAAAACTAGTTATCTATTATCATTTGTTCAGTGTACAGGTATAGTGATTTTTGTACGTACCGCAGTAGGCGAACTTTAGAGAGAGGACACAGCTCTCGTGGAGGTGCAGCTGGTACTTGTCAGGTTTGGAGACATGAAGGACTTCCACATTACTGCTCTCCATTCCCACAGCCAGCCACTCACCCGTGGGACAGTAGCCCAGGGAGAAGATCTGCACAAGCAAAGCAGGCCAAAAGGGGGCGTGAGATAAGAATAACAACAAAGACAACCACAACAGGAAAAGAAGAAGGGAGAGTCAATGATCAAGTGAAGAGATAGAAGTGAAAACAAAAACGCAATAGTGGAGGAAGGAGCAGAGGGGATAGTGGTGATGACAGAGGGAGGTGCGCTTAACAGGGCTAGAGGAAATATCAAGATTAAAAGAGAGGGAAAGAATGAAAAAAAGATATAAAGAAGCGGACGGGTCGGTACAAGGTGAACTATGTAAAGCACTATTTCTAGACAATTTAAGTGTAAAAAATGCATTAGTTTTGCTGCTGGTTGGTGAGTGCACACCTGTGAGGTGAAGTCGTGCTGCTGGAGCTGGCGTCCCTCTCGGAGGTCCCAGCAGCGGACAGTGTTGTCCAGTCCGCCCGTCCACAGTTTGGTGCCGTCATTAGAGATATCAATGCAGCTCGCTCCATCTGTGTGGCCCTGGAACTGTCTGTGGGAAGAGACATAGAAATACTTTTGGTGACACACAAATATCTCCACATGCTTGACTTTGTTATTCCCTCCTTTCTTATCTAAAATCCTCCCCTGACTTTTCCCTTTGTCTTTTTGCTGCTTATTAAATGCATCTCTAACCTGCCACCATTCTACCTCCCTTTTTAGTAGAGCCAGAACCAGTATCTTTTCTATAAATAGTTTGAGTTTGTCCTCTCCTGTCTCACCTGACGAGAGTCTGGTTGTGCAGGTCCCAGACCACGATGTTGCCGTCACTGCAGCAGGAGAAGCACACTTTGTTGTCAGGGGAGATGGCCAGAGCGTAGCAGGCAGGAGCAGATGACGTAAGCTCCGCCTTGATGCGAGGAGTGGGTGTGGCCAGATCCCAGATGGACAGTGTACTGGCCTCACCACCAACTATTAAAGTTCGCCCGTCAGGAAGAATTTTACAGGAACGAATGTAGTTGTCTCGGTTCTAGTTAAAAGACAAATATTAATAGTATTATCTTATGTCTGAGACAAATAAAATGTGTATCTCAGGTCTGGGTCTAGAGTTGTCGAAAGTATCGATACAAATCAATGCTAAAGCTAGTATAAAAAAAAATAAAATTTGATTTTGAATCGTTTTTAAGGTCCACATGGTAATATTAAAAGAAACTGCAATTCTTTTGTGTAAAAAAAAAGTAAGGAAAAAAGTTTATTTTTTTAAAATAATCATTGTAAGTTAAGATAAATATATCGTTTCATAATATTTCATAAGCTTAATATAAATCTGTAGTTTTTGTGGAAACTTTATGTTGGAATGCAATATCTGCAGTTTCTTGTCCCTGAAACACAAACCAAAGACCAGTCCTCTTATCCTCACCAAGCAGTCGAGCTGTGCCATGGGGCTCTTGCTGCCCGGTTGGCTGATGTCCCACACCTTGACGCAGCCCTTGCCTCCGGTGTAGACATGGCGGGTGGAGGTGCTGATGGTGACCGCACACACCACCTCTCCGTGACTCAGGGTGTGGATCTGCCGCGCATGTCGAGGGATCCCCGGGCCCAGCAGGGCATCAGGGGGGAAGGGCACAGGCTGCATCTGCCCATCTGCACTCACATGGAACGAGTATGCTCTGGAAAGGTGGGCACAGTGAACAGGTAAGGAACAGCAGTATAGGCAGAAATTCAATAAGGAGAGACACAGGTCTATTACAACAATTATTATATTGACTTAACATTGGAATGATGTTTTTTGGGGGTCAGTATTTATCGTGTGTACGATTTTTACAATGGGGAAATGTTTGTTTATTTTTTGGCTATATGATAAGATTTAAGATGTAAAAAGTTTAATTAATAACTTTTATGACTCATTACAGATGCAAACTTACATTAAGTGTTTAATTCTGCTATTTATTTACTGCAGTTCATGTTTACCAATATTGCACATTTAGAACAGAGGCATGATGCTGCTAAAGGGTTATTGAGTCAGTGGCATAAATTATTGTTTAATGTTTATATTAACTTCAAAATTTGTTATCGTGACAGGCCTAGAGAGACAAGAAATGACAAATGAACAAGGTGCAGTTAAGATATTAAAAATTGGATGAAGGAAAAGTATTGTGATAAACTTATAAAAGGTGTTACACTGGTGATGGTTGGAAAGAACATGGAGAGGCTGAGGTGGCTGATCATGAACACTGCTGCGGTGGGGGTTGTGGCTCATGGCTGCTTTGCATTTTGGATGATAGAGGGGTTAGAGAAGGCCTATACACTACTGCATATATAGAAAACGTCTGTTTAGCTGTGCATTCTTCATGAAGTTATGGCACTTAAATTTACATAAGGGCTATAGGCTATACAGTATATGAACAGCTTGAGATGTGATTTGTTAAAAACCTAACAAGATATCGCTAAACAGCAGCAACAAACATGCGAGTGAAAGTATGAACCATGTAGGAAATACATTCTTTCTGTTGTTTCTACTTGATAGGAATGTAAGTAGTAGTGATTAAGATTACTAAGGAACAGAGGTAAGGCATGTTTAGCCAGAGTCAGTGTGCTGTTGCTAATGGCTGATCAATACTGTAGCCACTGGAAGCCAAGGCAGTGTTTTGATTTCAAATTAGCACTGCTAGAATGATTTGCTACTTTGCTGCGAATGACATAAACAATGCTTTTCTGGAACAGGCAAGATGTGTGTGATTGATTCTCTATGTAAACATGCATAGGAGATGCTATACTGTAATCGTGTATTTATATAGGCCAGCCACAATAACACTTTTTGAAGCACGATATAGTGCTACAGAGAAATATCACGATATATCACGAATAATACTGAAATTACTTTGTGCCACTGATACAATAAAAATAAAGCAGGATAGGACCATTTTTTAAAATACAGTATTATTAACAAGTCTGAGCTACAATAAATAAATAGCAGGAAGAACCAATAATTAGTCCTGAAAGTGACTTTTCATCCCTTTGGTCTTACCATAATACATAAAAAATAGCAGAAACCTCCACACTGTTGCAACAAAAATATGCAGATGATAAAAATTGTTCTAGCTATCATATATTGAATGATAAGTTGATATATAGTAATTATCATGACAGGCCTATTTATATAGAAAGCTTACTTGCAACCATGTTATTTTTTTTTTAATACTTACGGCTTTCCTCCTGAAGCACCAGGTAGGGAGGAGGATAACCCAGGCGCCCTCAAATGAGCTCGAGAATCATAAGCAACCTGAATGACAAATATATTAGTCATGAATCAAAACATGAATCTAACTGTTTTCCATTACAGAGAGATTTGTAAAGTAGTACACTGTATCTTGCTTTTTGGTTGAAACAAGAATGGCTAAGAGGTTGCTATACTGTATGTGGTGCAATGTGTACAGACAATATAAGTGATGTTGTGAGCATTTCCCCAGACAGGTGACATGGTGGTGAATGAGGCTCTGCAGTGAACATCCTGCCCTGAGGCTCAGGTATGTGGAAGTCCTATGGGAGCTGTAGCTGCCTGTACAAGCTTCAACAAAGGTGAGATTGTTCAAAATATAACTCCACACAATACTTCAATAAAACAATGGACAAACAAAATGGTCCTATAATCCTTTTTATGCTGAACTAGTTCAGATAAAATCTGAATGCGAGACCAATGGCTATATAAGACCAATAAATCTTTTAAAATCAACAATTACACACAAACTTAGATCATCTGACTGCCTCTACTCACCATCGGGCTCCGTGAGTAGGCACTGGCTGCTGCACTGATCTGTGGGGACAGAGTCAAAGGCCCTCCAAAACCTCCTGGACTGGCCAGCTCCCCATTGAGTCCTGCGTGGGACACCACCCCAAAATGAGCCGGGTATGAACCAGGGGGTACAGACATGGGGCTGCGCAGGGCTGGGGCAGGGCACAGGGAATAGAGAAGGAAGGAGGAACATCAAATCACTGTCACAAAGGAAGCAACTCAAAGGAAACTATTTCATCTTTCAATTCCTTTTATCTAGAGAGAAAAGTAGATGATATAATCTACAATAACAATATCACTAGTCTAGTCAGGGTCAGGGTCACCTTCATGTTACAGTGTCAATGAGAAAATGGGAAAATATAAAGGCTCAATGATTGGCACAGAGGACAGGGGAGTTCAAGGTACAAAACCCATTGTATTACAAGCAATAAAGCCAGACAAGTGCATTTATCTCTTTTATCGTGTGGTCAATGAAAAACAGTCTAGTGCATCTTGTTCAGAAGTGTGTTTTAACATGTAACCCGGAGGCTCTCACCGAGCGGGTCAGCAGCTGAAGCTGCTTTGCTGACCAGGCGAAGGCAGGACGTGCTGGGACCAGGAGCTCCCGGGGCCCCTGGAGTAAGAGCCTCACGATGGGACGGGGAGGGGGTACCTGACTTGGACAATGGAGACTGCGATTTGTCCATCTGCACACAAATATAAAACAAAATGTGAAATTTTCACAGAAAGACCTGGAAACACAGAGGGGCATTTTAATGTATGCAGGTGAGTCCATTTCAGGAATGCCTTATCTCACCTGTGCAGGGTCCTTGGCCTTCCCGGGGGTAGGGCTACGTGGGTTTGGGGTGGTGGGGGCATCTGTGCCTGAGGAGCCAGGCATCTCTTTCCGAAGAGTGGGGGCCCGGTCTAAGCCGTTCCCGTGTGGAGAATGAGGAGGGCTGCCTGCTGGAGAGTTTGGCTCCTGAATGAATAATAGGAAATAAAAGGAAAACAAAATGCAATGCTTTTAGTTTGGCTCATTCACCCTTGAAGCATTTGGAGCTCATGGTAATATGGTCTTTGACAGTTCCACCACATTTTACTGTGTTTCATATTCACAAAGAGATCCTCAGACATGTCCTTGGGATGGCTTTTTAAAATCCTTTTATCTTGACATTGACATTTTCAGTTGTACTTATTTTGTAACATATGATATTTCAGTGGCTCCTTATGACACCAATGTTTGTTTGAGAATTTTATTGTCTGACATTGCTTCCCCTGCCCATCTGTGTTGAGTTTCTTGACCCAGCTTCAGCAGCATTCAGCATTCAACATGTAGTGGAGATGGAGACCAGAGATGCTTAAGTGACTTCAAGAGCTTCAATGTCAGTGAGTAGATTCAAAGTGCACAAAATATTTTGTCGAAAGACACTTCACTTACCTTGCCTTGTATGTGGTGTGTGTGAGAGTGATTGAGAAGAACTTTTTTTACTGAACAAAATAGTGAAATAAAAACAAACAGGAATATGTAAAGAGGGTTAATACGAACACTTTAAGACCAAAATGACAATGCTCATTGCAGCAGTTACAGACACAGGGACGACTATATTCTAATGCAAGTCAATGGGAGTCAGGGTCAGTAGGAGCCAGAAGAGTCCGCATGCAAACTTCATATTTGGAGCGCGACGGCTCGTGAGTTAGCCATGTCCATCAATATATACAATATATTCTCCAAGGCAGCTGTGACTACAGAAGTAGCTTACTACCAGACTGTATGGACTGAATGAATAATGCAGTGCTTTGAGAGACATCAACAAGTCTATAAAGTGCAAGGCATTATTATTTTAGGTGATGACAAATAAGCCTTTGTGAATGTGTGAATTAATACTCAGACCGCAGGGGTGGGCTTTGACACTCATCCCAATAATCAAAAAATATTTAGCAAATCTATGAAAATAGTGCTAAAATGTGCTTTTGTTTTTAGTCTCAGTATTGAAGCTTACTTTTCAGTACAATTTGCAAACTCCTTTTTTGAAATAGCATTCACAAATTACCTCAAAAGTTTGGCATTAAATTAAGAACTAGCTGATTGGAAACAGCGCTAGAGAATTCACCAGAGACCCTCCTGTTTATTTTTCCATTACACACATTCTCATTCTTTTCTTGTTCCCAATTGCAAGGGTTTTAAAATCATACATGGTCTGCCTCAGCCTTTGTATGCAATATCAAAAATAGGTTAGATAAGACCTATTTTGGCTCACTGCATAAAATCCTGAAAATATTAAATAGTCCATGGGCATAAAGGGCTTTGCATACATTAAATGAACAAGACTGTGGTTATCTAATTAGTGAATGGAAGTGCAAAGGAACACACTGAGGGGAACTATGAAGACAAAGCCAAAAAACTGAAGATGTTTTATGATGCCGCTTTGAAAAAAAACAAAAAAAAACACTGATTGATAATGAGTGTAATAGCAGTTCATCTTGCTCATACAGAAAGTGCAGGAGAAAGCTGTATTAGAGTAGTACCTTCTGACTCTGTACACACTCTACAACTCAGCTCACACAAACCAAGGTTACTACACCCCATATTAAAAGCACTAAATTAAGCTAGTCACAAAATACAACGTTGAAAGTGTAGAGTTGAAACAATTACCCAAATAAATTATATAAGACAGTATAATTAAAGCTTTGGATTACAATTTAGGGGTCATTCTCTATCATTTAGACAGAAGTGACATATACAGGCAGAGTTATGCAAAGGACAAAAGGTGAATCTATTGTCAGACATACACTACCGGTGAAAACTTTGGAATCACCGTCTCAATCTGTGTTTTTTTTCTATAGTTTACAGAAGACACCAAATATATGAAGCAAAAAATATGGAATTATTTAGTAAAGCAAAAAAGTTAAATAATTCTACTATTTATTTTTTTCTATATTTAGTAGAGTTATTTAACTAATTTTTTATGTTACATAATTCCATATATCTTACTTCATATATTTGATGTTTTCTGTATGTATATAAAAGGTCAAAAGCAGTAAGCATATAGAAAAAAAAAACACTGACTGAGACAGTGAGTCCAAACTTATGACTGGTAGTGTAGGATTACCACTGATACAGCCTACACAAATATACAAGTTCAGCTTTTTAAAATGTTTTTCTTGAATAACTATCACCAAATAAATTACATCCTGAAATAAATAGTAGTAGTGATAGTGTTAAGGAAGGTAGATTATCAAAGCAGTAGTAGCTACTGTATCTATCAAAAACTATACTATCTAGTTCCTCTATTGGACTTGACCACACGAGGCATCCTTCTCCTACTTGTCACATATAACTTTGATTACATTTTTTGTTTTTTTTTGTTTTTTAGTTTTGGTGGTTACAGCGTAAAAAAAAATTGGCTCTAGTCATTATTTTCTATTTATTAACACCAACTTGGCAACAACATGTTTACCTAATAAGTTTATTTCCCACTCAGTAACAGGTGCCTGCTTTCACTGGATTCTTGCTTCATTCATGTGTGGGCCATAGTGTGTCAGACTTAGGTGGATAAAAGGTATTTGTAGGTATTTTGTGAAGCAGCTGTGTGGAGGTTTTGCACAAGACCCTAGCTGTGTGAGGGAGAGCAAAGTAAGAGTTTGTGAGTGACTAATATTTTTATCCCACAGCGGAAAGAAAAAGTGAAAGGGTGAGTTAATGCTGAGGTGGAGGCTGCTCAGGGGAAAAGAAGATATAAACTATAGCATACCAATGTACATAGCTAGACCTGAATAAATGAATTCTGTTTATTTGTTTCACATAGAGATAAAAACACATATTGGAGACTGCAGATTGTACTGCATGTGGCTTAAGCAAAAACTTAATAATCAATATTTTAGTGAGAAAACAGCAAATGTAATTGACAACTTGTATGTACTGGCATGCTTTGGATTGAAGACTAAAGGGTCTATATTGTGCTCATTTTCTCATTTATGTTATAATGTTGTTTCCTCATCAAAAACATAGCTGGAGTTGTGTTTTATTTCATTCACAATTTTTTAACAGAGAAATCTTGCATATTGAGGCTGTGTTCTTGTCTCAAAAGGAAAACAATCTTTTCCACTTTGTGATGTCATGTGGTAATGCAGGAAGTGCTCCACATTGCCTTTAAACTTCATACAATTTCACTAGAATCATTTGAATTATTTCAGCCCTACTAAGCAAAAAGGTAAAGGTAGCTGTTAACTTGAAAACTAATGCTTCAGGACATCACAAGGTGGAACAGGGCATTTTGAGTTTTGGAAATGACTCTAACTCCAAGTATGTTTTTGAGAAGGTAACACCACTGAACATGGGTTAAAGCTCATAAGAGTCAATTTAGCGCAATATAGGACCTTGAATACAGATAAGATACCAACAGTGAAGAACATCAATGCTATGCTTATTTTGGCTTACTATAAAAGGCTATATTATAAATGTTACGCTTACTTCATTTGAGACATCCACCACAAGGTTGTCTTCACTCTTTTCCGCATCACTGTCCTGAAAAAGAAAAGTTCTGTGAATATATATTAGACTAAAACTAAGCTTTTTTTGTTGGCAGATGTGGCATGTACTGTACCTATACACACAGAATAATAAAGAAAGAGGCCCACGCACAAGTGAGCATGGATCAATATGTCGATATCCTCCTGCCTCTGTCTGTTCATATACAACATTTAACACATACGCACACCATACACGCCATACACCCAAACATGGCTCTTCACAGAAATATAAAAACACTCTCCTCCGTCCATGTCACTCTCTCACTCCTCCATCTCTCCCTCTCTTAGTTTTTCTGGGGTGAGAACGATGGCACTTAGTTGTCATGGCAACTGAGCTTTGATGTGATCATGGCCTGATATTTCTATTGACATCGGTGTAGAGTGACATCAGCACCTAATTATACCCAGCCAAAACAAGGCTATGTGCATAGTCCAAAAGAGAAAATAGAAAGGAGAGAGGGAACAAGAGCTGGCTTAAAATGAAAAGAAAAGAGGAGTGGAGGATTTAGGCAGAGAGAAAGAGAGAGAGAAAGAGAGAGAGAGAGAGAGAAAGAGAGAGACAGGGTGAGGGGGCAGAGAGAGAAAAGGAGAGTGAGTGAGATAGAGCGATAAACAGAGAGATTGAGAGTGATAGAGAGCAAAAGAGAGGGAGCAAGAGAAAAAGAGAGAGAGACAGAAAGAGAGGGAGGGACAGAGAAAGAGAGATGTATGTAGACCAGAGCAAAAGGCAAACAGGGAGATAGAAGGACTGTAATGCGGTTTGACAGAGGAAAAAAAATAAAACATTGGCAAAGTGGAAACTATCTGTGCTTGTTCTCACACTGGACTAATGGGAAGATTTGAACTGCTGTTGCTGATGCCAAACTGTTTTAGCTGGAGGCCATCTTTGCAGACAGACTCCCACTGTCAATCAATCCCCAAGACTGCAAACACACAGTCATCTAATTCATTACAGCTATCTGCCTTGGCTGTCTTTTCTTCTGGCATCACATCGCCTCTGGCTCTCGGCTCTTGCCTATTGGACCAATCCAAACCAAACACAGCTCCAGTTGGCCCTGGGCCCCCACACCAGCGTGCCCTGAAATGTCACAGGCAATGTCACTGTCTGCACACATCCCTCATGTCCAGTGACAACTTGTTTGGTAAACAACACAGTCAGAAAACACATGCCTCACATTCAATTGTTTTTCATGGGATATTTTTAGGTCCTCTGTGACACTTTTTGGCTGAAGATTATTGTCTCGGATTAATAAACAGAAAGCCTAAATATCAATATTTTGTTTAGTTTTGCATAATGCTGCTGTGTCACTGGGAAAGACACTTCACCCATCTTACATTAGTGTCTATTACAGTGGCTGAATGGTCATGGTCAGCGGGGGCCAAAGAAGCATCACTTTCATCAGTCTACCAAGGCAGCTGTGGCATAACCAGGTAGAGAGTAAATAAATTATGCAACGTAAAATGTCACTAAGTGAGCAAAAAATTTAATATAAATCCAGTGGATTACAATCCTTATTATTCTGTAAAAAGGCAGGAGTAAATGACTCTACCTCAATGCAAGTAAATAATAGAGATGCATACATAAGAGTGTGGAGGCAGGGACTCCTTGTCCTCACAGCGCCTCCTCTTGGCCTCTGCTGCACCCTGAGAAGAGCTGTACCCTCCAGACGGGCCCTGGCGCTCTTCGTTGGGCTGGCTGTCTGTCGACGACACTGATTTACTCTGAGAGGCAGAGGAGACAGAACATTAGCTTAAGAGTGGGAAAATAGGCCAAATAGATAATTAAAGTCATCATTCTACAAGGCCAGCAAGTTAGGCATAATGTATAGTGACACACATAGAAACATGCACAATCTGGAGACGTAAGCTTTGGTAAAGGCCATGATAAATCAGACGGTGACGCTCCAAAAGTGCACATACATGTAATTTCACACACACATACAGGAGGAAGAGCAGACGTAAGCAGCAGGTTACAGATTACACACAGGATGGCCTATAAAGCTAATTAGCCCTCCCCCCTCGACACCCCAGTCTTCATGTAAAATATGGCTCTCATTAATGGGTAATAAAGCTGTGCCGACATATTTACAATACAGCCCGTGCTCGAAGCAGTGGAGAAAACCCATCAAAGCATTGCGTTGTTTAGGACTGAGCAGGGGCCAGGGGTGCGATGGGGGCCACTCGTTATTGTGGGTCCCTCGGTGGGGAGTGGGACAGTGGACTTTAAGACAGCAATGACTCAGACCGGAAAGAACAGACAATGGCCATCACTGTGGTATTTCCAATAGTCTCTTGTGTCGAAAATGTTGCACTGATTTGCTACGGTTCAAAGCAAACCTCAGACTCACAAAAGGAACATTTTCCTGGAGTTTGTGTTTAGCAATTAAATTATGCTAAGGGTTTCATAGCGGGCATGAAGAGAGGAAAAGGGAAGTTAAGCCAGCAGCTCTCCTAAATCATTTTCATTCCGTAATAAAAGCCAGAACAAGGACTTGCTACTATTTTAATATAATTCTGTTAAAAACTATTTGGTATATATTTTTAAGTGTCCTTGTCGTAACCTTGCCCCCTCTCTGTCCTATCAGTGGTTACAGTGATGAAAGCCAGCCAGTGACAGAGACACAGATGGGGGGGGGGGGGGGGTTTCTAGTGATCTAAAGGACACACACAAACTGAATTACAATCAGACCATTAGCTAACATTTAATGTCCATTCAATTAAAAAGGACTTGAATTACAGTGAGAAAAAATGAAAATATAGAAATGTTTGCTATAAGTCTTAAATGTGCATTGTGTAACTTTTCTGGTGGAAGGCCGGTCACCTTCTTGTTTCTATAGCTACGTCATTGTTCTGCCTAGAATGTTCCACAGTATGACATTAAACAGCTATGCATTACATTTATTCTGTTACAGGTGGTTTTATAGCTTAAAATACCTAGAAAAACAGGCATTCTGACTGTGAGCAGGGTTGCCTCTCCACAGATCTGACCTGTAACTTGGTCTGGTTTGGTGTCCATGAAGACAGAAAGGTTTAATACCTTAGTATGAAACATTCCAGACAAAGCTATAACATTTCCATGGAAAAAAGCATGTGAAAAATGACACAATATGTCTTTAAGAGTTGAGTATCAAATGTACTTAGCTGATCAGAATTCCCTAAAACTATGTGTCTCAGGTGGGATAAACCCAGCACAATAATGGCTGACAAACAACCGGTCACAAACAAGTTCCCTCTAGAGGCAGTTCAGATTTACCAGTCCACTAAACGCATGCAAATTTTGGCTGTCAGTGAGTCCTAAAGTGTCAGACTCCACTATATGTACAGATCTAAGCAGGCCGGTGGTTTAAAAATGGGTTGGGCAATACATGTACAACAGAAAGTAATGGGACCCTGTGACAAGCTGCAAATTTGGTGAGATCATTATGTTGTGAAGACACCAATTTAGCTTTACCTACAGGTTGCGTTCATGCTCTAGAATTTGATGCAATAACTCCAATGGAGGGAATGGGCCTATATAACACTGAGAGATTTACAGTTTTTGAAAGAAATGAGTGCAGACATTTTTTTTATTTTATGTGGATAGACCCAGTAATTACAGTGATATTAATCTATAAATCAGGTCATAATATCCACAATCTGACAGCAAAATCTACCATGAAGTTCTGACCTGTCCTCCAGCTCCATTTTAGTATAGGGATTACGTTATGTGGCGATGTCATGTGAACGCAACCTATTAAAGCTTTAATGTGTGCAATAATAAAGATAAAAATTAAACCTAGGCTGTAAGAAAACTATGATATGATTTTTTCCTGAGGCTACTCGAGTCACTTTCACAGACAAACTGGTGATCTGGGCAGAATTTGTCATTAACTGTCTCCTAATCCTCTCTCTTGTTCGGCAAGTCTCACAGATTAGACACATTTGTTGTGCCAATAAACAAACCGTTGTTCATCCATTTACTCAGATTGTATTTTCTCTCAGATAACTGTCAAACGCTCAGGCTCACATGTTACAGTGTTGGTGCAAACCTTGAATGGCTCAAGGTTAAAAGCAAGAATTGAGCTCCTGTGTCATCAAGAAGCTGTTTGATGACATGCAGCAACTAAACTAAATACAGTAGAGGTTATGTCTTTATTTTATTATTATTTTTAGCTTTAGTTTATTATAACCATGCTATAAATTGTTAAAATAAAAGGATAAAGACTCTGGGTCCTACATGTAGAGTTCAAAAATGTCATGTAGCCACTTTTCAACAGTAAAAACCCTGTAATTGAAAATCTGCTGCCTGTTACATTGAAATGCCACTATGAAGAGGTGGGGCCTTTCAGCTCAGCAGTTTTGAACTGAAAATCAATGGACCCCGTCTTATTATCGAACAGTTTTAGATCAGTGTTGCCGTTTACAATGAACAACATGTAAAATAACAATCTATGTACATTGTAGCTTAATACTAAATGTCTGAAAAAGCATAATGTGTCTTTTTAATGTCATATGCACAAACAAATGATAAAGAACTTCATGTAATATTTGGGGGTAATTGTGTTACTCACCCTACTGGGGGCTCCCTCTGGGACAGGCAGCCAAGCCAAGTTGATGAGAGAGAAGAAAGAGGAGAAAGTTTGACGTCAGTCCTGATAATAACAACAGCTATGGCCAAGGTTAGGCACAGAACAGGGCCCTCTCTATTAAAGACACAGAGGGTTATTGTACTGGTCTCAGACTGACTGGGCTGTGCTTCCCTCTATCAGCACACACTATTCACACACATGCACAGTAGGCCTCACTGAACCTAACACACAAATATGAGAACATTGATGACTCCTTATAGCTCCTTTCGCTCCTCTCCTCTTTCTAAACCCCCGTTTTATTCATGAGAAAGTCTATCCTGGCCCAGTGCCAGAAATAGAGAAGAGATAAGATTTTTTATTGAGGTGAAAAGAAGTTCATTGGGAGAAAGTCGTCTGAATGTTCAAGTACTTGTGTCCATATTAGGACCGCGCAGCATCCCAAAGGTGTCTGCAGTGAGAATTACTCATAAATTGTCTGTGTCTAAATGTATAGGACTGATTTGCATTCATGTTCTGAAATGGTAAAGTGATTTACTTTAGCTGTGCAGCTGTTTGGTGTCCACTCCAAAATGAAATAAATTCTGCACAAGTTAAAAATGCAGATGGATGTGTAATGGTTTGAGTTTGGATCATTTCCCAGAAAGTGATATTCCGGCGCACAGAGCTGAACCTGTGAACGCAACGCCATCTGAAAGATTCCATAGTGTAATTGATTCTCAATACTCATGCATATGTTGCTCTGGAAACAAAAGCTTACATCAATACAATGTTAAATGCATGCAGATTGTGAGGTTGAAAGCCTGTGGAAGCTAAACCTGTCAACCTTCCTTTAGTCATCAGTTCTTCATAGCAATCATAGTTATTCCGGTCTTGACTTTCACTGGCGCAGGTGTGCTATGTAACTTTTATGGCGGGGGGGTGTCAAAGCAATGACATTTCCACAGAGCCAAAGAGGTGGCAAATTCTCCATTAGAAATGTTACATAGTGAACCTTTAAGTCACTGCAAATCGCATTTATTTCTATACTTCTACAGTTGTAGGAGAAGAAGCTCTTCTTGAAAGTATTGAAAGTAAGTAAGTTTTAATAAAAAGTTGATACCTCGGAGGTGCTCTGGGTCCAGGTGGTTGCGCTCGTCTTTTGAAGCCAGGTGAGCAGACACTCCCAGGGCACCCGTCAGTGCTAGGAGACCTGAGCCACTCGCACCCAGGGACAGGCCTGATGGGTGGGGTGTCAGGGGGATACCGGGGGCGTGGTGCGACAGGTGCTGGAGCTGCTGCTGCTGTGGCCACAGGGGAGACAGGAGGTGGGAGGGGAGAGGGAGAGAGAGGGGGGAGAGGGGGAGAGGGGGGAAGGGGAGAGGGGAGAAAAGGGGAGAGGGGGTGTGGACCGCGGCGTCGGGAGAGGAGGGGAGAGGGAAGAGAGGACAGGATGGAGGTTAGAAAGTATGTGATATAAGGGGAATGAATGGTAAGAAGTAAGCAAGTGGAAAAACAACCAAAAGGCAAAGGGTGGTTGGAAAAGAAGAAAAACATAAAATACAAAATGAGAGTAAGACTAGAGATTACAAATGAAGGAATGAGAAAAATACACAAAGAAAATGAAAAGACAAAACGCAACAGTACTAGATAAAGAAAGGCTATTATCCTGAGGGGAACACTGTGATGTGTGGAGGCGCTGGGCTGTGTCAGACACGCACACACACACACACACACACACACACACACACACACACACACATACACACATACACACACCTAGGAGACGTCTGTGTTTGTAGTGCAGAGAACAAAGAGCTTTAAGTAGACAGTAATGTGATCAGAGCTCTGACAAGAATCAGAGAGTGCATCACCATCACAACTGCACCTCTACATGCACACTACACACAAATACTGTATGACTGTGGGCTACAGATAAAATGTACTAGTATATGTAGAGATAGGGGCTTTGAAGGTGCTGTGAGGGCTGTAGCAACTCTTTAGAAGACTTCACAACAAGTTCCTGGGTGTAGGTTAATTATGGTGAATACTACAATGCTATACCAGAACTTTTTATACGTGTTTATAAATCCATCGATCACTACTTTTACATGCACACCAGGGTATGTATGTAAACCTGGGAACATCTATTGAGTTGTCGTGATTCAAATGTCCCAGATCCCATAAACAAATATGGAGAATTCCTTTGATCCACTAGGTTAAAAGTGAAAGTAAAAAGTACCAGGTTTTCAATGTTTTTAATAGAGCTGTGGAGAGCAAATGACTTGTGAGTAACGCAGTTTCAAGCTTGTCTGAAAAAATTACTTACGTACATAGACTCTCTGGCACATCTCTTAGACCCTCGTTCCTACTTACTCTTTGACCTGCATGTACATAGACTGGGACTAGAGTGGTCTGACCAGTTCTCACAAAATCAGATTAAGTGCGCACTAAGAGTTACCTGTGCATGTAAACGTAGCGAGTGATCTCCTACAGTTATAGCGGTTGAGGGTTTTTCCGTCTCTCTAAAGCAATAATAATTTTTCACTCTCAGTGTGACCTATTTATTGAATTCCCTCCATAATTCAGTAAGATTACAGTAGTAAGACAAGTCCACGTGTGTTAATGTGTTAGAGAGGAGAATAGCAATGACTCACCCCAATAATGGCATTAAGTTCTGCCATTGTGACCTGCTTGGCCCTCTCCACAGCCTGGACCACCTGCTGTTGGTGCTGCAGAGACACACAAAGTCACACAGAATGAAGAGGTTATATTGCAGCATTTATGTTTAGAAAGATCTAGAACTGTGAAAATAGATTCAGGGTTTTGCAAGAGGATGTGTAAATATCAACACCAGGTTGAGTAAGCATCCATTCAGAATACAAAGAGGCACATAAAAGAGCCCGTACATGTATGCTCAAAGACACACAAACGTGTTGTGTTTGCACTAAACCCCAGTGTAATCAGTCGCACCAACGCAAACATGCATGTGTGCCTTTCACAGTGCACCGCCCCACAGTCAATATTGATCGAGCTGACAGAGATGTGGCATTTCCATCCCTAGGGGGCGCTCTCATAAGTGTAGGTTCACACAAGGATGACATGTTTGTGTCCAATTATGCTGAGATATATATATATATATATATATATATATATATATATATATATATATATATATATATATATAGTACTGAGAGTGATTTACCTATAATCCAAAAGCATATTTTAAAAAGTCAATAGCTGATGGAGAAATCTTTGAGCTACATTTTAAAGATGTATAGGCTACCTTTAATATTTTTTGTGGAAATAAATCAATAGCTACAACTTTCTGTGTAATTACACCAGGATATACCACCCTGAACCTTCCATATAAGTGTACAACATACAATGCAATCCTAATTGCAGGCCAACATGACACAAACGGTTGTAACGAGTGCTTCGACACCGCTTGTGATGTGTGTGTGTGTGTGTGTGTGTGCGCGTGTGTTTGTGTCTGATGTGTGATGTGTGATGTGCGTGTGTGCCTGCGTGTGTGAGTGTGTGTGTGCGTGGCAGTGGTGACACTTACCTCTTGAGAGAGGAATGGGATGATCTGAGCACAGATGGCACTGAGACGCTTGACGATCTCCGCCTGTGACGAAAAGAGAGGAGAGAGACAGAGGGATTCAAATGATGAAATATGATGAGAACACAATAATGAGCGAAGCATATGATTGTCTTTACGTTACATCAAGTTGTATTATGCTCTGTAGAAATGAATGGCAAGTTTTTCTGTATAGATTTTTACATATATAATGTAATTCCAGCTTGTGGCTTTTTGGAGTCACCACAGTAATGATCTACTTATTCACAAGCTGTAGTTTTAATATTAAGCTTAACACTAGATACTGTTCCTGATGCAACCCACTCCACTTATCTATGCTGTACTTACTGCCTGCAACAAATATTCATGGCTTTCAACGTCCTGTTATAGGTAACATTTTGAGGACATTTCACTATTCAAAAGAGATAATAGTTTTGAATTGTTAATTGTTATGGCAACACTGCTAATTACGCTATTGTTATGATATGTTTTGCCTCACATTAACAATTTCGGTAATAACTGACAGGATACAGTTTTGTCTTAGACTTCAAGGAAAATGACAAAAACCTGCCTGGCATTATTCATCATTATTCATACGCCTGCCTGCTTTCAGACCATCACACAAATGCACACACAAACGGAAAAAGCCCACCCCATACAAACACATTCACAAACACGCACACACACACAAATCCATACAGCATCTCTGTGGTGTGTCTAATTCTATCAGTGAGTGCCCTCAGCCTCATTCTGTTCTGTTCTTCACTCAGCCGTTCACACAGCAGCTCTCACACTGAGCCATCATTACCCTATTCAAGCTTCCTCCAGCTCCTCTGCTCTGTCTCATTTACTCTTGTCTTTCTATTTTTCTATATTACCACTGGGTCTGGCATTATAATCACCTTTTACTTCTTTGGTCCTTTTCCTCCATCTGTTAAGCTGTTTATTGTTATGTCATATTCTGTTTATTTTATTTTCTACACATGAATTAAGATGTAATATGCCTCCAGCAGTAAATACAGTTAAGATATGGTCTTATAAAACATTATGTTCTGCACTAGTACACATAGAGTTAACACTTTTGCAGTAAATATGAAGTAGCCAAGGTCATAAGCAGCGAGCAAAATAATATATTAAATACAGTTTATTCTGTAGTAAGATGTGTATTTGGTCTGCAATAGACAGAATATTACCCCTGTGCCGGTTTGGACACTACACTACAATTTATTTATGCTATTACGAGATGGGACCAAGAGAGTCTGTCCACTTCTACATCCCAGAAATTTTTCAGCATCATGAAACAGGTCCTTTACGTATTTTTGAGCAAAACATTCTATATTATGAATGACAATCTTTGATGTGATCATTTCCTGGATCAAGAATATAGTTTCACATAAAACTAGAAAAACATGCAGATTTTGATAAATTATTTCTTATTATGCAGAAAATGCAGCTAAACGTGTGTGGCATGACAGCAGAGCAAGATCCTTTCCTGGACATTGATGTATGTTAAACTGGCCAATCAGATGATGCTTTTTACTGCAATGAATCAATGTAGTGATCTGGCTGAAGCAGCACGAGCAGAGCCAGGTGCCACACAAAACGAGGGAAAGTCTCTTTGCACCACAGTGCCAAAACGTCACCATTATGGAGAGCTGGCACAGGTTGGCTGGATGAGGGGATGAAGCGTGTGGAGGGGTGAATGCACGGCCAGAGACAAAGGAGGGAAAAAGGGAGGGAGGAGGGGGGGTCAGTGAACACCTGAGAGCTCAAAGACTGCCAAGTGGCATCGGTACAGAGGGACAGAGAGAGACAGAGAGGGGAGGGGGGAGGGAAAGAGAGGTAGAGAGGTAGAGAGGGAGAGAGAGAGACAGCTACAAACAGAGAGAGTGGGAGAGAGAGATGGGTAAAATGGAGATGAAGGGGGAATTTGTATTTCCACTTTATCCATTAAAATTACAAGCACTTTGTCACAGGACACAGGAATAAAATGTACAAAGAATACAGAACTTCTGTAACATCTAAAAAATGTCTTTTTCAATTTGACAATACATTACAACCATAAAGGTCTGCATAGGCATTAGGCCTATGAAAGGAAGAGACTGTGTGTGCACAATAATGAGCTGAATAAAAGTGTCCTTAAAATTCACAAATCATGCTTCATTGGATGCTGAAACTATATTTTAATTAAACAACAGACTTTAGATAATCCAGTGTTCAGAGACATGACATAAAAGATACATATAAATAAATAGTTAAATCTAGTATACCCAGGGCAAGAAGTCTCACATGGGTCCCCCCCTTTAATATAAATTAATAGGAAGGAGGTCCAATTTTGGGACCCTGGGGCCCGGGTCAATTACCTTGTCCATGTATTCACTTACAATACATAAAGGACATGTCTGGTTGAAACACAACTTCTTTATAATTAATCAAGGGACAGTACAGAAGTGTTAATAAACACACAGAATATGGCCGAAAATAAGGACAAATCCTCAATAGCTTCTTTATTTTCTGCATCTCTACCCACAAGTTTAATCCATAAAACACATTATTCTAGGAAATACTGCATAAAGATCTCCTAATATAAAGTACAATTAGATCAACTGTGTACAAGTACTTACCCTCTTAAGGCATACTGGCTACTTTTTATTTGCAAATATTCATTCAGACAGAACTTCGTTGTGAATTAAAAAGGTACAGGACAAATGAGTTGAACTGATTTTATACTAAATTGGTTTAAGTCTAGACTGGAGAATACAGTCATACAGTCTTGTCCTGAAATATTGACAATTAAAACATGACAACAGCAGAGCAGTGGAAGCTGTTAAATTATTATTAAATCTTGCAGTAATTGAGTACTTTTGCAGTATAAATTTTAAAAAAATGTATTAATCAGTTAAGACTAGAATTAAGCAAGTATTTCACATCCTGCAAGTGTAATGTGCACTGGTATTAAAAGGGGGTAATTAGTCGCCTCTCATTTGCATATTGCATATTCAATTGGAACATTGTGTGAACCACGTCCTATGTCAGATCAGTGCTGTGTTTGGTCTCCCAGCATAACAGCAAGCAACAATGATCATGTTGCCAATAAAGCTTTGGTGAATTTGAATGTGATCCATGTGGGCAGATTGGCACAGGTGCAGGGAGAGCGTGCCCAGTGAGGGTCTGTGCCAGCTCGGCTTCAGAGCAGAGCACGGCCAGGTTTGTGCAAGAAAAATGACACTTTTATCTTTCATATGCAAGTCCCAGTCTGACCAAATAAGAGCATCATCTACTCTTAAACCATGAGCCATAACTCTGCAACTATCAATTAACCAATCTAATTACTAAAACAATAGCTGCTATTCCTTCGTCAGGTCCAATTTGGAAACACAGAAGGCAATCCTAAGCAGAGCACTCAACCCTCAGAGGTGAAATTCCATAAACTAAAGAAAATGCGTGCCACAGCAACAATGTGATACATGAAGTTAATAAAAGATGCGCAATGTCAGTTTGTTTCTGTAATAAACCCATTAAGTCTAATTTAGACTTGGGGTTTGTAAAAAAGTCTTGTTTCCATTGTATCACCAAGAGCATGCTTCTCAAGAAAATGCGTCCCAACCTAAAATAAATAACTTAACTCAATCATGTGTGTCGACATTTGTTTGAAGTGACTTTGGGATTTGTGTTATATAAGATACTTCCAGTTATCCCACTTCTTTAGTCTTATTATATATTTCCGACAAACTAATCACCTGCTTATTGTCTCAAGCTGCTTTGCTTCGTTTCAAACTCCTACTGTCTCCAACACAATCAGCCTCCTGCTCTCCTCTAGTTCCACACTGTCTAAGTTATATTTTTCCCATAGTGCACTTGCCCTTGCTCTTTTGCTCTTCGCTCACTCTCTCTTTCTCTCGGAGAATGGCCTCGCCACACTTTTCTTTCCTCTCTCACTCTCTTCTCCCTGTTCCCTCGCTCCTCTGGGCAGGGTGCCAGCTCCTTTTCCCTGGCTCTGAGCCAACTGCAACCCCCTGCTCCTTCCTCTCCTCTATCCCCCTTGCCTTCTGATTGATGGCCCCACTATTCGGAAAGAGAGGGAGGAAGAGAAAAGGAGAGAAAGAAAGAGAGAGACTGAGGGAGAGAAAAAGAGAGGTGGGGAGGCAAAGAGATAGAGGATATAAGAGCAGCACACAGAACAAATTCTAGTGTATGCTTAAGCTGCATGTGCACGTAGGCAGACATGGCCTCCACGAGCACGCTCCTCAAATCACACAGTGAAAGAGAGAGAGGCAACAAGGGCGCACAGAGAGGCAATCTAAACAGAGCCAAGCACACATACGACGGCTGTGTGCAGAGCAAGCACAGCCCCGCAAATACACATCAACAGACTCACACACACTCACACACGAGAAGTGGGTTTTCCTGTGTTCGAGGGTATGGTGACTACATGGAAACTAGGGGGGTGATAAAATACAAAGCAATTTACCGTTCTCAGACGCGTGCAATGACACTATCTTTGTCAAAGAATATTTTATGCATAAAAAGGGAAGCCAGTGTCACATGTATTACTAATTCAGTTTGCATTGGGTTTTTAAAAATTCTTCTTAAATGTCATTTTAAAATACATTCATTACAGAGGCACTGTCCACTAATTATGCCATCTTTTGCTCCCATGTTTACCACAGGCAGGTTGCAAGTGCTCACATAACCGCAACCACCTGTCTCACTGGTAACCATATGCACATCAGATAAATAATGCATGACAAACAGTTTTAAAATATAGCTTTTAAATTTGAACAATAAAACATGAAGACATATTCAACATATATACAAGTTTTGTTTTTTTTATACATTTGAGGCAGCAGGATATCAAATGTACTTTAATTATCAAACTTTCATTGCTCTGTTAATTATTGAGTCTCGCATGAATTTATAGTTAAACTACTACACACCATCACTCCTCTCTCACTCCACACTTTCTCTGATATTACAGAGTTATTAGTCATACTCACACAGTGCCAGCACACCAGCTGCACCGACAGACTGCAAACAGCCTAAACTCA